AATAAACAGCTGTGCATTTAGCGAACTGTACTATGACAGTCCTGAACAAGAAGGCTTCCCTGTTTAAGCTGCAGCGACGTTTCTGTCTATGGAGTACGTTCCTTCTGTGGCTGAACTTTACAGTTCCTCTAATGCATTTGGGATGACTGCCTTAGAGTAGCCTGCTGCTTCCCTGATAACTCCCTGTTCTTCCTCTGAGAACTATAGTACCTTTCTGCTGTTGGCTAAACCTTTGGCTGCCAGATCCACCACTTCTACCACCAGATTCACAGCCATCACCCGAGGGACTGCCTGAGTATCCTCCACCAACACTGCCCCCATCATGAATCCATAATTTTCAAAACCATGTACTTCCCACCACCACAGTTACCTCTACCAAGATTTCCTCCTCAATCATAATAACCACTATATCCTCCTCCTCTGCTACTGCATCCACTACCCTGGTTTCCGTACCCTGGCCACCATCACCACAGTCTCCTCTATTACCATAACCTAGACCACTACCATGGTTGCTGCCATCCCTCTAAATGCATTGTTTCAACCTCCATGACTACCTCTGCCACCACAGCCTCCTCTTCCACCAAAGGTTCTACAAAAACCAAAATTATCCCTACCCCTTCTCAAGCACCACAAAGTTGTCAGATTGACCTCCTGACCTCTCTGTGATCAGTGGACTGCATCTCATGTTTGGAAACGGCCCCTTTCAATTCACAACTACACCCGTTAGCAGTTGGACTTTCTGAACAAAAGTTTTATCAACTGTGTCATGATCATTAAAATTTACAAAAGCAAATCCTCTTTCTTCCCACCCTACTTGACTTCCAGAACTTGGATGGTTTCAATCTCCTATACTTTCCAAAGTAGTCTCTCAGATTGTATTCTTCTGTATTTTCTTTAATACAATCAACACAAACTTCTTTGTTAAATGGGCACCAAGCTTCACAGACCCATCTCTAATTCTACCACATGCCCATCAACCTTGAGTAGTCCAGTATACAACTGCTTCACCAACCGTTGTCTTCAACACAAGAACAAGTCATAAAACCAAAGCCAACTGAATGGTTTGTTCAGAGTCTCATATCACTATACAGTCCAAAAAAGTGCTTCATTTCTCAAAATGTTCTCTTAAGCTATCATCTGTAGTTTCAAAGCTCAGATCACCAATAAACAACTTCCTCAACTGTTCTGGTTTCTTTAGATCATCTCTCCACCCCTACTCCAGCAACAGTGGCTAGAGTCAAGTTGGGGTGACTGGGCAACAGTTTTACCTCCATTCTGAGACCTGACTCACTCTTTCAACCGGAGTTCTATACAGGACTTAGAGGAAGACGGGGGCATTTGTAAACTACTACTAGTGAAATGGAGACAGGATGAACCCAAGAGCTTGTTGGAGAGCCAATCTAACATAACTGGTGAACTTCAGACCAAAGAGAAACTGTGTCTCGAAGGAGGCTGATGGCATTCCCAAAGACTACATCTAAGGTTGTACTCTGGCTTTCACATGAATATGTATACACACGAACGCGCGCACGCATGCACGCATGCACGCACGCACACACACACACGCATATAAACAAAGAAAACTTAGAAGCTGATGGATCACACATGTCCCCTCGGTTATAGGGAACCTATGAGGAGCTACACCCACTATGCTAATCCTTGCGCTATATACAGTTCCAAATTAAATGACAAATTTAAAATGCCATGATGGGGAGCAGGAAGCAGAGGAGTACAAGAGCCTGAAGAATAAATAAAAGTTTCCTATTGTAGTATTTTTAACATCATGCTTCTCTTTTCTAAACAAAAAGTCCTGTACTTTTACTTGCACTGTCCCTGATAAAGGCTAGGAGCTAAAACACAACTTTTGAGACTCAACTATCAAATTCAAAGTTGACAAAGACAATTCCCAAGATGTACTCCTCATTTCAAATCAGCTAACCCGGCAATTCCAGGTCTCCTGACAATTCCTGAATCTTAAATGTTGGGCTCTGAAATGACAGTTTGCATTTTAGAGTCTCTGGTCCCACTGCTTGAACTCGATGAAAATCGCATGGTGGCCACGTGCTCCAATGTGTGGCAGAGGATGAAGGCGTAGCTCTGAGAACAACCAGATGTTTTCGGAGTACAGAGCACAAGAAAAACCTTCCATGGGAAATTTAATAGTAAAAAAATTCAACTTTGTTATTAAGTGTTCCTTTCACCTCCTTTTAATGATAGCACCTTAGTATTTGAATAGGCAAAGACACTTCTGCCTTGCATTTTGGAATAAACCAACTGCAAACCATTTTTGAGAAGAAGAAATGTGGCCATTGCTTGGATGTCATTTGCTATTAATTGCTGCATTATTCAGTGTGATAATATAATAACATGAAGTTTTCAAGTATTTGTAGGTAAAATAATAAATATAATGTTTGATACCTGTTTTAAATATTTCTGCAAAAGGAGGAGAGGTAGAGAAAGACAGTGAGAAAGGGGATTTGAAAATATGATGGAAAAATATGACAATGAAGGTAAAAACTGAACTGGGTGGAAGAGGATTGAATGCAAGTACTAGAAGCGCATGGGTTGTTTATAACAGTCCCCTCCTTTCATGTTTTTAAATTCTCACAATAGGGCGTGTGTGTGTGTGTGTGTACCTGATATTTACCCCCCCAAAAACTTGCAATCTCCACACCAAATGCCTTTTGTTTTCCTTGTGCAGAAGCGTCCCCGGAGACCGACAGCAGTTCTCTGAGCTGGAGCGACACAAAGGAGTTGATGGGAAGGATAATTCACCCATGGGTCCCAACACAATATAAAGAGAAAAGAAGAAAGTGGGCGGAAGAGACGGCCATTGTTCCTCCTCTAACCTTTCTTTCTAATTATGCCAGAGTCAAGGCTCAGGTCACGAGGAAAATCATTTTGGTGGTCAACCATTTGCCCTGCTTTGTATACATCAAAGAGGCTCTTGTTCTCACTGCATTCCGATCTCACAGTTTCCCACCTACTTTCAAAACCCATCAAGTGGCCAGATTAGCTAAAATATGAATAAAATGACTACATTATGGGGAGCACCTGTTTGCAAACCAAGAGACAGGCGTCTGGTTCTGATGACTGTATGATATATAAGGCTTTAAAACTAAATATGCTTTATATCATTGTAGGTACTGCAGAGAAATGCTCGCCATGGCCAGCTTTTCCAAGCTACATGTAAATTTCTCTCCTGGGTGCAGATGGTGGCCAAGCTAAATAGCTCTTCGTTCTTACAGACAGAAGGTCAGGTCATGGCTGAGAGACCAAAGAACAATTGCTGCTCTGCTGTTCCAAACCATCCGGGGAATGAGAAACTACAACTTTCTGAAACTGTTGCAAAGAGTACCTACAAGATCTCCTCACAGCCTGCCTCAGGAAAATCTGTAGCAAGAAAACATCTCTGGACCCTTCGCAGGTTTACTCCTAACCACTGTGCCCTCGCAAAAGGCGCATCTCCACCTATGCGACATCACTAGGATCATCAGGGAAACTTGGATTTCAGACATCAGGGAACAGTGACAAAGGATATCATTCCTTGCAGCTTTAGCCTTTGCACATTAAAAAGAAGACAGTGTGCTAAAAAACAGACACCAGAAATGGGTTTGAACTAGGCTACCCATCTCCAAGTTATATCCTCCTCTTCTTAGTGTATGATTTTTTTAATCACTAAAACGTGGTAACGTAATTTCAAATCATTCTGAAACTTTCTGCTTCTGTGTTCTATTAGTTGCAAATATTATACTTCTATAATTCTGTATAACAACTCAAAAGATATTTAATGTTATAGGATGTGCCGACATAGCTCTAAGAACCTGTAGGGCTTGAGAAAGAGGAAAGTGCTCCATTGATTTAGGCGTCCCAGGCTTTCAGATGGAAGAACTTTCCATTTCTCTATCAGGTACGCCCCCCGCTGGAGGAATTGAAGTCTGTGCACTTTAAAACTAAGATCTTCAAAGACATAGAACACATCATAAAGTCTGCACAAGGTGGTATAAAAACTACTGTCACTCTGCTTGTCTGGGTTGCAAATTAGTACCAAGGGTTTCAGCCATGATTTCAATTTTTTTTTTTGCACAAAACTTCACTAGCACTTTCTTATTTAATACTTTCCCCAATTGCCTTTATTTCATTAGTCATCAGCAGCTGATGGGTTGAAAGGGAAAATATGTTGAAAATATGATAGAAAGCCTTGATCAGAAGTATGTTGTAAAATTATCTAGAACAACTTCTAAATTGTAAGGCTATCTCTAAATTATTGATACTGATACCTCAGTCTTATTATTTTAATAGAATACACAATCTGCTTTTCTTGGCTATAAGGAATGCAAACCTTCAATGGCCTATAATGTAACATAAAAATAGAACATCAAGAGTCAATCTGCCATAACTTTCTCTTTACAAGCCTTCCCGAGAGTCAATTAAAACTGGAGTATCTATACACTCTCAGCAGAGTTCTAACATAAAACATCTGTTCAAATTGAAACTGAAGCAAGTAGCATTTTCCCTAACATTTCTAATTTCACTGTATTTAGGCTTCCTGAGCAAACGTATTCATGGCTATCTAGTTAAAACTGGTTCCATTCTGCCAACAATCAATTTGATTGACATATTTACATATCAACTCATCTCATCTTACAAATTTTAAAGTTTTTCACTTAAAATTGGATGCAAGTTGGCATCTTTCAAGAACTTTATGTACGTATATTTTAGGTTCAAACTGTGCATTAGAACATTTTCAACTTTTCTAAGTAATAGATACATATCCAAATGTATATTTATGAACTGTCAAATTGGAATTTCATATGCAAGCAGTTGTATTCTCACCACTTCATGTCAGGCAACTATAAATGAAATTCTTTTAATAGTATAAAGTGGGCCCTTACATTAGTGAGAAACAATACAAGACAGACAGCCTGTGGGTAAGACCCCATCAACTTCAGAAAACATCTTACTAATAGCTTAATAGCTGTGCTTGTGTCTTTCCTTACCTGATCTTTAATTTCAAGATCCTTTTGAGATTTTGCTTTGTATTCTCTGTGCTCCTTTTCCGCCTCCTCCTTCTCCATTTTCGTTTTATTCAACTGAAAGCGCATTTCTCCACACACCTGTTAGAGTGTAAAAACAGATCAATAGCCTCTGGAATGACAGAGCAAGGCCGACAATTAGATCTTTTGGTGCCCCCTAGAGGACACACAGATGAAGTACAACAAGACTTTTCTAAGATCATTGAATGCATTATAAGATTGGAAGGCAATTCAAGGAATTACTGAGTTTAATATTCCAGATTACAACAATGAAATGTTAAGCCAGTGAGATGTACCATCAGGTAATGACACTTGCCACCAAGCTTGATTACCTGAGTTCAATCCCAAGGTCCCGCGTGGAAGCAGAGAACCGATTCCTTTCCTTGGAGTTGTTTTCTGACTTCAAGTGCCATATTACAGTGTGGACATGAGTGAACACACACACACACACACACACACGCACGCACACACACACACACACACACACTCATGCATGCATGCACGGATACACACATGCAGACACACATTCCTCTCTCACTCTCTCTCATGTATGCATGAATGCACGCACACACACACACACACCCTTCTCTCAATCAAAAACAAAATAATGAAATGCATATTTTCAGGATTATTTCATATGAAATAGTTTCAAATGGTCAGACATGGTAGTGCATACCTTTAATCCCAGCACTTGGGAGGCAGAGGCATGTGGATCTCTGTGAGTTCAAGGCCAGCCTGATCTTAAAAAGCAAGTTCTAGTACAGCCAGATCTATTACAAAGCAAAACAAAAACAAAAACAAAATAAATAAAAACACAGAAATTTTTTTGGTTTTATGAGACAGGGTTTCTCTGTATTGTTTTGGAAGCTGTCGGTCCAGCCCAGCCTCGAATTCACAGAGATCAGCCTGCCTCTGCCTCCCGAGTGCTGGGATTAAAGGCGTGCACCACCACCACCCGGCTAACACAGAAAATTTTAAATATTATCTAAAATTATACTAAAATAAGTAATTAAATCAGTTGAAGTATGTTATTATTCACACATATGGTCAAACATTCTATATTATAAAATATTTCTTTTGTTTGTTTTCTTTTCTTTGTTTTGAGACAGGATTTCTCTGTGTAGTCCTGGCTGTCCTAGGACTTGCTATGTAGACCAGGCTGGCCTTGAACTCTCATAGATCTGCCTGCCTCTGCCTCCTGAATGCTCGGATTAAAGGCACGTGCCACTACCCCAGGCTATATAATTATTTCTTTAAAGATTTAATCAGTTAAGCTTTTAAGGAAAATTATATGAATTTTTCTTTGCTAATAAACTATATTATTGATATTTAGATGTATATTACCAGAATTTACAGTAAACATTACAGATAGCACCAATCTTATTGTCATAGGTACACAATATGACTTAAACACTATAGAATAACTTTCAATAAAAGTCATATATTGGCTTTAAGCATGAAACATGCTCTATAATTATAACTGTAGCCTTCCATATAAGAGGAAAACATACATTCAAATGAAGTAACTATGACATATTATTAGGTAATTAATACATATAACAGCTTTAAAATGTTCTAAAACATTATGCAGTTTGTTTTTCTTTTTTTCTCTAACCCAAGTCACTGCACATAGAAAAACATATTTGAGAAACTGAATTATCAGAAAAATCTAAGTAAAGAAATGACAAGCCGGGGCTGGAGAGATGGCTCAGAAGTTAAGAACACCGGCTGCTCTTCTAGAGGTACTGAGTTCAATTCCCAGCAACCACATGGTGGGTCACAACCATCTGTTATGAAATCTGGTGTCCTCTTCTGGCCTGCAGGCATATATGGAGTGATGTATATATAATAAATAAATAAAATCTTTAAAAAAAAGAAATGACGAGCCTTTGCTGCAACAGAGAACCCACAGAAAGCAGAGTTATATTACAACTCTTTCTGATGTCCTGATGCAGTTTTATAGCATGTTATCTAATGGTTATTTTTGCCTGAAATTTTTCAATATGGCATTTCTTCAAAAACGATGGTTTTAGAAGCTTCAGAAGTTAGTCTCATCATTTTAGAAATATTAAAATATAGTAAAGTATGGAATCTATATGCCCCCCTCTTCTCAACTAAAAACCTCTTTAGAAACAATAGGCATTGGGGCAAAACAGAAGTGCAGCCAGAAGTCAGAAAGCATGGCAAGAAAGAATTATACACACACACACACACACACACACACACACACAACTCTTCAATTCATAAGAGTTGATTCTTCCATTCAAAAAAGTATAAACTGAGCCAGGTGTGTTAGTGAATGCCTTTAATCCCAGCACTCCAATCTCTGTGAGTTTAAGGCCACTTTGTTCTACAAAGTGAGTACCAGGACAGCCAGGGCTATTATACAGAGAATCTCTGTCTCTATATGCCCTCCCAGAAAAATAAAAAAGAAAAAAATCTAAACTGAAAATACTAAATAAAATTGAAGGGTTAAAGAAAAATGTCTCCTTCATTCCAGACCATTTGGCTTAAGTAGGTCTAGGAATTAAGTGACAAACTCTCAAGTCTTTAACACTAGAAAATAACAGCTCCTCAGCTGTGACTGGCAATGACATTTATCTAATCGCACTGTATAACAAATGTCCGAGTCTAGTCTTCTAAAAAGTCACTCTATTCTTTAATTTGAACTCTCACTTTCTTAGTCCTGTTAGCTCATTGCTTACTATATCCATCCACAACACGTCAACGTCTTCTACAGTAAGTCAAGGCCTTACACTGAGCCACAATTATCATCTCAGGGCTGGAAACTACTTCAAAGTCACTTAGTCTAATGTGTCACTCTCCAAAGCCTAAGCCCTGTGAACAGTTGCAGAGCCAAGAACTTGTTCATTACAACATGACACTTCGTAAAAAAGGTGTCTCCTGTAATGAACCACAAACCACTACCACAACTGCACCTGCAAACAAACCTGCATGTCCATTCCCTGGCAGACCTCACTGCCTCCCCCATTCTCCAGACAGACAGAAGGTATGTCAGCAAACAGGAGTTTCTTAAATCTCTTCATCAACCATGTATTTTAGGAAGTAAGTGGAGAATTAGAAAGTGAAAAGAGAAATAGCTCTTTTTGTTAAGATGTATGTATTTGTATAATGTAAAAGCTAAAATAATTCTGATTATTTAATTATAAAGCAACAATGAAATACAATGTATCAAAACTTAATATAGGTTTGCATGTTACAGAGTTATCTGTGAATTTAGTGGTAAATAATGATTTCACCCACATATTACATATGTCAATATTCAGTTTCTTACTAGTTGAGTGATTTACTTGAAGTCCAGATTAATTGTCATTCTTTTAAAATCATTTATTCTTATTTTATGTATGTGTTTTGTCTGCATGTATGTTTGTGTGAGAGTGTCAGATCTTGGAGTTAGACCGTTGTGAGCTGCCATCTGAGTTCTGGGGAACTGAATCTGGGTCCTCTGGAAGAGCAGTCAGTGCTCTTAAACACTGAGACATCTCATTAGCACCAAAACTAAAATTCTTAAGTCAGTGAAAAAAAAAGTTCTCACTTCACTCGCTAGTGAGGCCCAGAGCACAAACGCTGCAGTATTTTAATGTATAACTTAAGTATCAATAAAATAAGAATTCATGCTAAATTTCAGATTTAACTAAGAATTTAATCTAATCCACTGGTTTTAGAAGCAGATCTGAAAAAGAAATAAGAGGAAGAAACTACTTATATCAAGCACTGTTCCAGAAAGTCTTAAACAGTTACTGGGAAGACCAACCTCATACTGTCTTCAGAAAAACACTCACTCCTAGCTAACTGACTCAGAGAGGTGAGCTTTGCTAAGGATCCAACAGTTAAAGTAATATAACTTCTATTCACAAGTCTGTCTTTGCCAATTATTTGGTACAAATTATCTTTGGATTTTCCAGACCATGGAGGGGGCTGGTAGTAATGCTTGTTGACAGGCTCATTCAGTTGACCTTTATTATTCTTGAAATAATAAAACTTTTCTATTCCATACTTCTTCCTGACAACACCAGGAACTTCAGGAACTTTGGATATTAAGAAAACGGTTTCTAGGTGGACGAGGGTGCTCAGACAGTATCTGAAAACAGAGGGGGCCCACAGTGGAGAGAACCCCGACTCTGACTCCACAGTAGCATCATGGCATGTGTGCCCCCCATAACACACACAAATAATACATCTGAACAAAAATCTTTCAAAGACAATACGGACTTAAGCAATTATTAAAGCAAGACTGTTCCGACCTTTGTGACATCCTCTTCCTGAGAAGCAAGCTGGTTCTGAATTCCCTCTAGTTGACTGATGGCCGAAATCTTTTCCCTTGTAACAGTTTCTACCTGGGCCTCCAGCTTGGCAATATTCTGAGATAGAATCAATATCTGTAAGAAGAAACATAAATTCAGCAATGACATTTGAAAATAGTATTAAAAGCCATTTCAATAGTTCCATGTCTGCACAGCTACTGGGCTCTACATCAATTTCTCTGTGGGCTGGATATGTCTGCTTCTCTGATTACTCAACTCAGCTCATCACTGGAAATGCCTCCTTCACTCCTATTCACTCTCTGCACTCCAACTTGTTGTGAAACAGTGTACGATGATAAAGTCTAAAGGCTGGTTGAAACCCTGAGAGAGCAAATATGACATGGAACAGACTGCGATGGAGATATTTCAAAGAGGGTCTGGGGGAACCAGGCAACTCTTAGGTCCTTTCCTGCACGGACATTAAGCACTAGAAAAGATAATTTAAAGAGATGAGATGGAGATACAGAGAGGAGATTCCCTTCCCCCAAATCAGCACAGGGCTTCCCTGCAGTTCCTCTGTTGGCAAGCCCCACTTATCCTCAGTGTTCCTCAGTCCTGTCAAGAACCAGATGCGCAACTATCTCCTGTCTTCCAGGAAGCCCTCCGAGACTTCCAGTTTCCACCCAGCACAGAACAGTCGCCCTTCACAGCCCAGGGCTGCCAACCAGCTGCTGTGCAAGGGACACTTACACCTGCTCTCTGTACCTGCTTCCAATCTCCCCATCACTGCCCATGCCATCCTGGCTGCTTAGTATCCAGGGAGTTACACGGCACGTAATTCTACAGCAACTTCAGCCTGTACACCTCACCACCCTCCGCATCTGTATACCGCTGCATGTCCCTAATTACCCTGTTTCACCGTTTGTAGCTGCCTGGTTTTGTGTGTTTAACTAGAAGTCCCTCAAGGGCATGTTCATTAAAAGGCACCAAATGCCCCATGGGTTTATGGACGAAAATTCGGATGGATGCTTTTCAGTGGGGGTCTGTGCATAGTATCAGGTCTTACTCTTCTCAGAACTAAAAATGCTTCCTTGTCCTTAGAATTCATGGTTGTGCTATTTCAGTGATTCCAACTCTTCTGTGTTAACTTCTTAGTTGGACTGACACATTTAAAATGAAGGAATGCTACCTTAACCCAGAAAAAGCATATGGGATATCTACTTTATCTGCTAAAGAAATAATGACCTTGAATTCTACCACAGTCTCTGACATGTGTACATTGTTCTATAATTGAAACAAACAACTAAAACTTTGTCATACAAATAAGCCTATGAGAGAGAGAGAGAGAGAGAGAGAGAGAGAGAGAGAGAGAGAGAGAGAGAGAGAGAGAGAGAGAGAGAGAGAGAGATGGCTGTTCTTCCAGAGGACCTGGGTTCAATTCCCAACACGCACATAGAAGTTCATGTCTGTCTGTCACTCTAGTGCCTGGATTTCTGACACCCTCACACAAAGATGCATGCAGGCAAAACACCAATGAGCATAAAACAAAATAAAATCCCAAACAAACAAAATCAAATAAGCCTAATTAAACTCATTGGTTCATACATTCAAAAAGCAAACAAACAAAAGGCCAGTGGAATAGATTATATATAATGGGGATGGGAGGATGAATATGAGCAAAACATTATATGCATGCATGAAAGCATCCTGATGAAACCCATTATTGTATATAATTAATATATCGTAATAAAAACTTGTATCAATATTGAAAAGTTTTGTAAATTAAGAGCTTTACAACAATGAGATGATGTCAGGTGTTGGCATTTGATTACATAAATAGCATACTTGATGCACATGCAAACAATGAGTCCTTAGATACTTTGTAATTTAAAAGGATCAACTAATTGACTTTTCTGAAAAATCACTGAGAACTATACATTTGAGTTACAGTTATTTACATTTCCTGAACATGAAAAGGTTATCCAAAAACTTGACTTGCACATAGCTTCACTAATACCAAACTACCAAGTATCTCCTGCACATTACAGTCTGAACCAGTAGTTAAAGGTCAAAAGAAAATAAACAGAGCGAATTGAGTATCAATTTAATTTCCTTAATTTAAGAGCTCAAATTCATGACTATCCACATCATAACCTGTAATTATAGGTCTTCTGGACCCATATAACAGCAGTGGATTTTAGTGACAAGCTATTAAAACTAATATATTACGTATTTATGTGGGGATAAATCGGACTGTTAAACATATTAAGAATGCTCTGTGTTTCAAGTAAATATAGAGATATATATTTTGCTAATTATAAATGTTGTATCAGTTTCTATTACAAGGCATATACCAACTCCCTCCCTTCCTTGGAACTCCCTCCCTCCACCACCCATCATTTAGTTCCTCTGCCCACTACCTGTCTGCTACCTCCTGTCACCCTCTTCCTGAGGCTTCCCCTCCTGTTGTCACACCTTCTTCTCCCCCATGCCCACCATCTGGAAGTCAGCATTACACGGCAGGAGTTTCTCCATCCACATCTGTTGCAGAGCCAGCAGTAACACAGACAGCTGCAACACTGCTGGATGTCCGAGGCACTGACATCAGGTAAGTCCTTTAAACTTTGACAGGGGCAAGGAAGAGACAAGGACACCTAGGCTGGGAAAGCTTGATAGAAATTTGTGCAAAGTGGTTTCCAGTACATTGAATATTGCATGAAGTGGTAGAAGAGATACAAGAAATTAAGGATTCTGGCAATGGGCTATTGTCAAGGGAGCCAGCTAAGAAAATCTGTGGGCTGTAGGGGGTGATCAAGCAAGCATATGATGAATGATGGACTCAACTAACAAGCCCGAGCAGTTCAGAGCAGACAAGGACTGGTACTGAAAGCAAGAGACAAACTCACAGCAGGAAACACTCCGGGGGGGGGGGGGTGATACAAACATGGGCAGGCAGCAGCGGCACCCGTGCTCCTAGCGTTTCCCACACAAATGGAGATGGGGAAGAAGAGATGACCAAGTCTCTTGAGTGTCCTACTGTTGGGAACCAGCAGCACTAACTTTACCAACCTAATTCTTACAGCATACTGATTAGTTGGTCACTTTCTCTATTGGACTGTATCCCAAAGCCTGGGTGTGGGTGCGGAGGGTAAATACATGTGTGCACATTCATGCTGAGGTCAGATGTCAGTCCCCGTCTTCTTCATTCACGACCTACCTTATTTTTTGAGGCAGAGTCTCTCACTGAACCAGGACTCACAGATTCAGCTCCCCTGCTGGTCACTGAGCCCAGAGATGCTTTGTCTCCAACCCCCAGCACTGAGGTTTCAGCACACACAGTCACAGGCAGCTTTACCACGTGGGTGATGGGATCCAAACTCAGGTCCTCAAGCTCCTGCAGGGAGCACTCAGCGACTCCCCAGCCCCAGGGAGCAGTTTGGAAAGCAATTTCTTTCTGATTCTCCAGCTACAGTTGGATCAACTGACAATCCCTCCTTTCTGTTTATCTATGCACACTTACATACACATGGACTGTATTACTTAAAAATATAATGAGGAAACTCACTTCTATTTTGTTCCAATAAATACCTCATTCAATATTTTGTGTTGATGAGTTTTTGTCCTGGGCATTTTTTCAAATCTGCTTGCGAAACTGTGAAGGATCTAGAACAAAAGAGTAAAACTACAAGGTCTCTGCAGGAGGGGGGGATGATGGGGAGTCCGAGGCAAGGACAAAGTCAGGAGAGGCAGAGATGCATGCTTGCTAGCTCTTAGTGCATGTGTGCACCGTAAGATCTCAGTACCCGTGGCTGAGGCCTCTCCATTCCAACCACTGCAGCTGATTATGCAGAAACTTCAGCCATATGGGAAACTAGGTACTTTCCTAGTGTTGCACATGTGTGTATACTTAAGTCCCTTTAGAGAAAGCACTGTATCAGATTTGGATTGATGGAAATTGGATTAGTCGGATTATTTTTAGTTCCCCTGAAATGAGATTAGGAAAGCTGAGCTACTTGCCCAAGTTCATTCATGATAATACAGAAGAGGTACAGCTAGCGCTTGCATTCAAGCCTGTCTACACTGATGCACAGGTACAAGAGAACTAGCCAGGAAGTCCTCTGCTCCTTCCCTAAAATAATAGGCACAGGCTCGACTTATTCAATGCCCACCATAAGACAGGAATTACAACATTTTCAAAACATCATCGCATTTGATCCCATCGAGTGTCTGAAGTGCTCATCACCCCCAAAGGTTAGACAATGTCCCAGAGAGGTCAAACCCGACTCTCTCCCACCCCATCTTTTTCCTCTGAAGCCGTTATCCCTAATGAGATCACCACCTGGGTGCTAGGACTTGGCTGTCCTTACTCTTACACCTGAACTCGCACCTGAGATCAAACATCTGCAGAGCTTACTCCACTTGTGACACTGTGCTGCATGGCAGCTGCCACCTTTACTCATGAAGTGCCCACCAGGGAGAGACTCCTGTACAAATGCACCTGGCATGCTGCCAAGCACAGTTCACTGCCCCCCCCTTCCTTTTCGAAATCCTCACCCAAGTGTTTTTATGTTGTGAAGCTACTGAGTCAAATGATTTCCACTAAACAAGCCCCCTTTCCAAATAAAAGTACCCTAGGTGTAAGCAATAGCCATTGTGTGTGATTTATTCTGTTTTCTCACATACACACGCACAATAGCCAATTCAAAACTATACCTCATCCATGCCTTCATCAGGTCGAACAGAGGCCACTTCCTTCCTCAGTAGCTAGGATTTTAAATCCCACCTATTCTTCGGGGCTCAGCTAAACACCACCTTTCCCATGGCTTGTCTGATGGCTTGCAGACAGGAATCACTTCTGACTCTCTGCCTTAGTCCTGCCTTTCCGAGGCTATGGGGCCTTCTTTCCCTTCCTTCTAAGTTATTCATATTTCATTCAAAATACACATTTAAGCATTGTTAATGTGCCAAGCAACGAGGATGTCAGGTCATATATACAACAGGAACTCACAGGAAGCTAGAGAAGGCAGCAATCCCACAAGAATTTGCAAGCAATAGCAGATCCTAGTTTGGCTTTGGGAGGCTCTGATGGAGGCTGTGTCAAGAACTCGGAGGGAGCAAACAGAACAAGGAAAGACTCTCCTGGACAAGAGGTGAAGCCCACTCAAAATCTTGATTAAAAACAAACAGCCAGGTGGCGGTGAAACGAGACATTAATCCCAGCACTTGGAAGGCAGAGGCAGGTGGATCTGAGTTCAAGGCTGTCTCTACAGAGTAAGTTCCAGAACAGCCAAGGCTATGCAGTACAAACAGAAAACACACACACACACACACACACACACACACACACACACACACACACACACACAAAAGCAACAAAACAACACAAAAGCAGCACAAACAAAACAAACAAAACAAGCACAAACAAACAAAAACTCCAAAACAACAAACAGGCAAGCAGGCAGACTGGATGTCTGAATGACTGGAGACAGGCAAGGAGGCCAGTGAGTAGGACACAAGGAAGAAAATGAAGGGAGAGGAGACGGGAGAGCCAGGGAGGAGAAATGATGCAGAGACTTCAGGCTTTGCTAACGAATCCTAGTTTATCTGAGGCTGCAGGGAGACCAGAAAGGCCTTTAAAGCAGCACACTGGTTCACTGAGATGGTCACCACAGAAAAATCACCCAGCTGTGGTGTACAGAACAAGTGAGGTGAGGTTGGTGGCAATGACACCACAGGTCTGGAAGTGCCATCTGAGGGTGAGAAAGTGGTGACAACAGAGTAGAGACAAGACTCACTGTAGCTTGGGGATAATGCTGGGGGCACAGGGGCCGGGGAGCAGCCAAGGGTGGTAAGACCCCTGTTTGGGACCACCCCATGAACTGTTTTTACTGGCGCAAGGAGAAAAAGGAATGGAGGTTCCCTCGGGCACTGACTCTTTCAAAACTACCATGGAAACTTATTTAAATCTCTGTCCAGATTAAAAACTTAAGATTCAAAGGTTGAGGTAGAACCCCGCTTCCCAGAGAGGCTGAATAGCAAACAGCTCACCTCTTCGCATCTCCCAAGACGGCCTCGTGAGCCTTCTGGATGCTCCTTATAAACCCTTCTCCACCTTCTCCCTACAACTTCCTGTCGGGTAGCTGCTGACCCAGCCTCCAGACCTCAGGTGAATTTTATTTAATCAAACACACCTTTGCATCATTAAACAAATGTTCCAGAGTACAAGCAAAAGCAACACACCCTGAAATAAGATTCTACAGCAAACCAAGATGCTATTACTGCCCCCAGATGCCATAATTAACTCCCAGTGATCTCCTGGATCCAAGATGTCACCACCCCACCACATGACCTAACTGCAACCTGATTCTCCTGGCACATTCTTTAGTTCTACTCCAATTTATTAATACGGTGATTTTCCTCAAATAGTCATGTCATTACAACACTGTCCACTGTAATCCATTCAGGGGCTTAATGTCGCATTTGCATGAAATTTATAATACTCAGGTAGATTTTAAGAACATGGGCAATTTATTCCCTGTGTCCTTCTCCACACTTCACCCTCCACTGTTGCTCTTCCTGGACCTGACACTTTCTTCCCCTGAACTCAGTTCCTCACCTGACTCTCCCTCCATCTTTCTAGGCCTCACTTCAAAGTCCTCTGGCAAAAAGTCTCTCATGAGCGTCTAGGCTTGAACATATCTGCTTAGCAGCCACCTTTCCCTTAAGTCTGTACTTGATGGGACAGCAGCATTGGGCCTGTGGCTACATCCCCAGGGCCTCCAATTCATCTGCTGAAGCTGAAGGAGAAGCAGAAGGGATGCTGGGGCGGAGGTGAAGGAGAGGCAGAAAGGTACCTTTGACTCTGCATCCTCCCTCTCCTTGGTTACTTCTTTCTTTATCATCTCCTTCTCCAAAGCCCGTTTCTCTTGCTGAGCAGCAAGTTCCTTTTCCAGTCTCTCTGTCTGCCTCTCCAGCTCACTCTTCAGCTGCTCACACTGGATCAAAGCCTGCCAGACAAGACAGTGAGAAGGGACTTCAGGAGTGAGGGACGCAGCAGGGGAAATCAGACGGTTACACGGTCTCTCATTCAAGACGTTACACCCACTATAGCCCACCTGGATGACCGTTTGCCAACACCACTGACTGTCCACTGTCATAGCAGCGCCCCAATGTCCCACTGGCTCACAGATTTCCATTTCAGTGTTAAGGTTACAAGACATGTCTGGTTTACCAAAACAAATGCAACTCTGATTTTCAAAGTTCTCCAATGGAGTTAGTCCCAAGCTAAATCCTAGAGGAAGGTCTCAGAAAGGAAACTTAAAATTGGATTGTGAAAGAAAATGAAACAGTATATATATATATATATATATATATTTATAACTGAATCCCTTGGAGTCTGAAGTACTATGAAATGCAGAATTCTGTGCTTCAAAATACAATTGTGTTAGTGAAAACTACTTTCCATTAATCTAGTAAAGGCAAACAAACCTGCCAGTTTTACTGTTATAATGAATACTACTGGTATGAGTGAATAGAACCAATGTTTCCAGAAAACTTTCCTCCTGAACAACTTCAGCATCAACATCATCAAATATGAGGAGAGTAAGAACACCTGAGAAGCCAGCCCAACCCACACAGGAAGAGCAGAAGAATCCAGTGAGCACAGGAACATGAGGAAATGGCCCTCAGGCAGAGAGGCCAAGCCGTAGGCCGCTTCAGTGGAATGCACAGAGTGGAGCCGTAAGTCAGGTAAGCGAACCATGCTGACCACTGCCATGTGGCGGCCTCCTGCCTTCTGCCATGAGCACTCCTCTACCTTAATTTTTAAGACAGGGTCTCCCACTGAACCTGCAGCTTACCAATAGACTGGTTGGCTATCACGGCCCAGAGATCCCATCGCCCCTATCTGCTCCTCAGAGATGATGACAATCCAGGTGCACATGGCCTCATCTGGCTTTTTTTTTTTTTTTTTTTTTTTAGAGAGCTCTGGTGGTTTTGTTAAAGGCAGGCTTTTCTGGTTTACCACTCACCAGTCTGTTCTGGCATGCTTCTGATAACATCAGAGTCACCTGGGTCAGTGACAGCCAGGGTGCACACTCTGTAGTATTGTCCACATGTGTGCCCAATTCAGTGTTATTGCCGCTGTGGTGATGGACAGCGTTAGCCAACATGGCATAGTGCTCTATTTCAGACTTCCTCAAAGCCCGGAGTTGTCGGCGAGGGTGACCAACTTTGCTTTGCCCTGTCTAACCATCTTGAGAGTCTGTTTGTATCCCAGCATGTACTTCCCACTTTCCATAACAAGCTGGAGCCTAGAGTTGATCGACTCTTGGGACTTTTTCGTCTTCTTTTCGGCCACCATCTTCCTGCCAAAGGTATGGGACAGCCCTCAACCAAGAGCAGCCGCCAAGATGGTGAGAGAGTGAGAAAGGCCTCATCTGGCTTTTAATCTGGGTGTTGGGATTCAAACTCAGGTCTTAATGCTTGAATAGAAATCACTTTGCCCTCTGGACATAAGCCAGGGAGCTTGGAACCCCTGAGATCTAAGACTATCTCTCTTACAGTGCACCTCACCTGAAGCTGAGGGATTCCTAGCCCAATACTTACAGACTATTGCAGGATGCTATTCCTTATAATTCAAGGGCTCCATTTATTAATTTTCCAGAATCTCAGCTGACATCTAACCATGAGGGAAACTAAACTCTCAAAGTCCAGGTCACAACTAAAATGATGATATCCAAGTGGGCCTGCGCTCTGTTTTTCCTGGGAGAGTTGGTGTGGTGGCCTCTCCATCTCCTTCCTCAGTGGAAATGGCTGCCAACCATGAGGCTTGGAGGAGCTATGCTTTCCCAGCCAGTAAATCCAACTCAAGTTCTTCCTTTGCTGTCCCTACCAACATTTATTTCAAAACATAATTTATTTGACTTAGTATTTCTAATTCTAGTTTTATTAAGCCAAAGGTAAATTTTACTATCCTAAAGGAGTCAAACAATTTCCACAACAAAACTGACATCTGTCCACTAAAGTTTTGAAACAGAAAACCTATTTAGTGACATCTCTAATTTCCCTTCCCAACTGTTATGGATAGTTTCCTAGAAATCCCAGTGAAAAACTAATGAATAATAAATTAAGATATTATGAGGATTTACTGTTTACTGTTATTGAACATAAAATTTGAAACTTATGAATATGGATTATTTTTATGAAAAAGCCCATTAAATAAGAATGATTATCAACGTACTTAAGTGTCTTACTTATGAATAAAAAAAGTATTGCCTTTAATTTATACATACTTGTTTACCAGAAATGTGTCAATAAGTCTATGCTGAGACTATTTTCATAGGCATGCATCAGTGACCATGTTCTGAGAAACGCATCATTATGTAATTTTAAACTTACATAAGCCTAGATGTTATAGGTCATGTGACTGCCTTTGAAGCAATCAAGAAACACTAAATATGAAGTGGATGGGGCTGCTGCTGGTGTAATACACTGTTTCACAGTGAGCTTGCATACATGTGTGTATGCATGTATGTATGTATGTGGGATATGTATTATATATGTATGTATGATGAATGAATGTATGTGTATATGTATGTGGGATTCTAAAATAAAAATAAATAGAGCAAATATGTAAGCCAATAACAGCTGCCTTTTATTACTGAGGCTTACATACCACATATAACTGTCTATGCCACATTGCGATGCGGCAGTAAGCTGGCTTGTCCCAGTACCAGCACAAACACGCCTGTTAATACTACCATTTCAGTAGTTGATTGGAATTCCATCACCTCTCTTATGATCTTCTGTGGTGATACATTGTTTATGATCTAGTAAAGAAACTGAAGATCAGAATGCAAAGCCATCCACACTAGTCAGTCACAAAAGCTGGGCAGTGGTGGCACACACCTTTAATCCCAGGACTCAGGAGAAAGAGGCAGATGAATCTCTGTGAGTTCAAGAGCACCCAGGGCTATATGAGAGTGAATCAGCCTTAAAGAGTAACAGAGCTCCTGCCTTTAATCCCAGCACTAGAAAGGTATATAAGGAAGAAGCAAAGAGTCTCATGAGAAGCTGGGCGGTGGTGGCGCACGCCTTTAATCCCAGCACTCGGGAGGCAGAGGCAGGCGGATCTCTGTGAGTTCGAGGCCGGGCTGGACCGACAGCCTCCAAAACAATACAGAGAAACCCTGTCTCGTAAAAACAAAAAAAACAAACAAACAAAAAAAGAGTCTCATGAGAGATTTAGTTTTTGTCACAGGAAAGACAGGATTTCTATTTCAAAGAGCTAAGAGCCACTGGCTGGCTGCTTTACTTCTCTGGTCTTTCAGCTTGGACCCCAATATCTGTCTCTGGGTCTTTATTACTTGTGCTACAATCTTCTGGGGCCACTGTCCTTCTTGTGTTTTTATTTTTCAGCAGACAATGGGATGCAATGTGAACATTACTTCCATGGCCTATGATTGGAGTTCAATGCTGTTCTGATAAATGGTTCCACTCCAAGTGTAACAGGCTTTTTCTTTTGGGCAACCAACCAGCTCCCAAACGAGACACAGAGACTCATTAGTTTTCAATGCTCAGCCTAGCTTAGGCTACTTTCTGGCTAGCTCTTTTAACTCATATTAACCTGTTTTTCTTTATCTTTACATAATTAAACAAAAGCAGCACAAAACAAATGTAACACATCTTTACACAGTTAAAGTAATATTCCGTAGCATAAACAAAAGTAACACATCTTTGCCTGGCTAAACAAATGTTCCACAATATCCAAGCTTCTTATTCCTGATTTTTTGATTCTACCACAATCCAAGACACAGAATGGAGACATTTTTAAAAGAACAAACAAACACTTATTTCACCTTCTATGTTGCCATTTTAAAGAAAATCCTCTGTAGAATGTTCTCTCCTTTCTGATGTGCTCGTCCCATTTTCCTAAGCCTAAGCTCCACACATGACTCAGCATTACGCTCCTAGGACAGTCTGGGTGGTGGGAGGGCTGTGAACCTCTGCCAGCTGTTTCTTGGGGTTTTATCCACACAGTACTACAAACCCTCTGCCATTCCTTTTCTCTTTAAAAATTATCTTCGGTTGTAATAACTTACACTTTCAAGTACAACCTTTCACTGAGAACTTGCTATGCATTAAAATCTCTCTAAGTGGCTAGCATAGAGTCATTTCATTAACTCCATTAACAAATTTTAAGTGGTTCTTACCCTTCAGGTAAAAAACAACACCACAACAGTGCTTTGAAACATGAAATAATTTGCCCAAATCACAGATCTAGAAAGTGGAACAGTATAAATTTGATGAACAGCTATTTTACATCATTACCTGAAAATGACATTCATTGTGATCATATCAGATATTTGTTTTCTTAAAAACACAGTCACTACAAATGTAACAGTGCAATAAAGCAATGCGGTTTACCTGGAATGCAATACAAACAATGCCCACTAGATGGCAACAAACACCAAGAAACTAAGAAACAGACCTACTTATCACGTTGATGTGATGTGATGCAAGTCTAGGAGTTTTTACCTAAAGTTCTGTTGAGACATATGAGTTTTTCTTTGGGGGGGTAGAGAATTAAAAGATAGTAAGTATGGATATTTTCCATTTAGAACTACCTTTTAATCCAAACTACGTTACAAGCAGTCATTGCCTTCATTCCTGTCAATTTGGTAAAAATACCAGATTCACAGTATGCAACACCTCCTCCCTTCCTTATTTATTCTTCTCTCATATAATACATCCCAACCACAGTTTCCCCTCCTTCTATGCTTCCAAACCCCACCCTCCACCCCCCCACCCCCAATGCTCTCCTTCAAAAGGGAGCAGGCCTTCCAGGGACATCCACCAAATGTGGCATAAACAAGTTATATAAGACTAGGCACAAACCCTCATATCAAGGCTGAGAAAGATGACCCAGTAGGAGGAAAAAGGTCTCAAGAGCCAGCAAGAGTCAGAGACAACCACACTCCCACTGTAGGGGTCCCACAAAAACACCAAGCTAACAACCGGAACACATATGCAGAGGGCCTACAGAAAACCCATGATGGCTTCAAACTTGCCTGTCAGCCCTATGAGCACCTATGCGCCCTGCTTAGTTGATTCTGTGGGCCACATTCTCCTGGTGTACTTGATTCCCCTGGCTCTTACAAGTCCCCTCCCCTACTTCCACAGGGTTTCCCAGGCTCCAAGGGTAGGGACCTGATGAAGATTTCCAATCTGGGCTCTCTCCCTGCGTCATGTTTGGCTGTGGGTCTCTGCATCTGCTCCCATTAGCTGTTGGAGTCGGAGGCTAAAGTGAAGAGTTTTGGATTGATTACATAGGCAGAGAAACTCTCAAAACAGCTCAGTATAGATTCTGTCCCATGGTTATTAGCATTAACTCTAATGAAGATAAATTATGAAAAGGAGCAAGCGGAGCAAGGAAAAATATTTGAGGAGAAAGAGAGCACCAGGAAGTGGAATGGAGCTAAGTCCTGTGTTCAAGGAGATAACAGATTAAGAAATGGAATAAAGGGAGTAGTGACCTCAGGGCAAGATCCCACTAAGCTTCCAACTTGTGAAAAGGAACTAAAGAAAAATTTAGAGCCCAGTGTGGTGGCATGGAGGTGCATGCCTCTGATCCCAGCAATGGGAAGGCAGAGGCTGGTGGATCTCTAAGTTTGAGGCCAGCCTGGTCTCCAGATCCAGTTTCAGGACAGCCCAGCTTGGGCAGTGACGGACAAAAAGCTGGTGAGGATGTAATTGAATGAGGGGCCATGTTCCAGCCACAGTAAGCAGCAGAACTTGGCAGGTTCAGCCTCGTGGCTCTGGATGGGCTATGGAATTTGCCTCCATGTCCAAAGAAAGGTGCTGAGGCCAGGCATGTGTCAGGGGTGTTTCTGAATGGAGGTCTAGAGAGGCTATTCATGAAGCTATGAAGGTGAAGGCTGGATTGCCTTGGAGACCCCAAGATGTTGGAGATGCCACAACTGCGGCATACTTCTGAGGAGAGCTGCTAACAGGGAGTGGAAACAGCCCAAGAAACAAGTGTGTTGTTGCAGTTAACAAAGCTGAATGGAACTGGAGATCTGAAGAGCATTTTGACATCAGACATGGATGCAGTTTGGAGTTTGCCCAGCTGGTTTTCAGTCTTGCTTTGGTCCAGTATTTCCTTGCTCACTTTCCTGCGTTCTGGAATGGTAATGTATATACTGTGCCATTATACATTGGAACTAAGTGATCTGTTTCTTGATTTTGATTTTATAGGAGATTACAGTTAAGAGATTATATGAATCTCAGAAGAGATTTTAAACTTTGGACTTTCAAACACCGTTGAGACTGTGATAGACTATGGGGACTTTTGAAATTAGACTAAATGCATTTTGCATTATAATACTGTTAATCAGCTTATGGGGGTCAGGGAATGGAATGTGGAAGTTTGAATGTAACTGGCCCCCATAATCTCACAGGAAGTGGCATTGTTAGGAGGTGTGTCGGAGGAAGCCTGTCACTGTGGGGATTGAGCTTTGAGATTTCCTATGCTCAGGATACTGCCCAGTGTCTCAATCAACTTTCTGTTGCCTACAAGGTGTAGTTACTACTCCAGCACTACTCTGCCTGCACGCCACCATGCTCTCCACCACGCTGATAATGGGCTGAACCTCTGAAACTGTAAGCAAGTCACCCCAACTAAATGTTTTCATTTGTAAGAGCTGTGTGGTCATGGTGTCTCTTCGCAGCAATGAAACACTAACTAAGACACAGTATTTGTGTAGAATTTATCAAATGAGCACCCATATGCCAAAACCACAAATCTAAAATTTCAAAACTTCTTGAAATCTTATTAGCACTCAAAAGACTTCAGGTTTGACATGTACTTCAGATCATGGTTATTCAATGTGCACACATGTTAGACACATGCTGTCTAACACAACCACCAGTGATGACATGTTCTCTGTCTGCTCTACCACTGTGGTTATTTATGGCTACCTGTGCCTATTAAACACTTGAAATACAGCCAGCAACACGTCAAAGAAAAATACAGAACTTTAATTGATTAATGTGTGGTCCTCAAACACAGTGATCAATCAATAGTAGCCTCCAATTATTAGTGTAAACTACTAGTATGTCTAATTTAGCTCAGAATGGATCCAAATTCACATTTAAAGATATAACCAGACACACAGGGTGATTAACATTGGCATATGCAGACATCCTATAAGTCCCTTTAGCCATACAGGAACATAGATGAGCAAGTGACCCAGCACTGAAAACTCTCTCCAACCCCCACAGCATGTTCCCATACTGTTCTACAATCTCTGAATATTCAGTCATAGGAGAGAAATATGCAGAGGAATAAGAATTCTCCAAATAGCAGGATTGCCTAATTTAGAGATGTCAGCATTAGTGGACTGGCATCTGTTTTATGTGCTTGGGATTAGTTTAGTTATGAAAAATAATCACAGAAATATACAGGGGAAAAGCAGTGGCTGTGTATTGGTATCCATGTCCATCCGTTAGACTTGCCTTGGTCTTTTCAAAGTTGGCTTCCTCGGTCATCTGCACAGCCTGCTTCACCTGTTTATAGGCACTTGTCTCTCTCTGCTGCACTTCTGCCAGGCTGCTCCGCACAGACACTAGTGCAGACATTAAGTCATCCCGTTCTCTGTGAGCACAAAAAGAACACCCCAATGAGAAGGGACCATGTGATCGTGTACTCAGAAGTCAGAAGAAAGGAAAGCGTTCCCGTATAAAAGGACTGCTATGGACAGCCTGCCCAGCATGGATTAAAGCACAATCCAGAGAATGACCCTCTGTCCTCCCTCAGCAGTAGCAGGCAGAGCGGCCTGAAAGACTGAGGCGTTCATTGCAGGACCACATCTGCGTGGGACAATGCCCTTCTGTGGAAGGGGTTGGCACATGCGGGAACACAGCGCAAAGCCTCCATAAGAGCGAATCACTTAGGAAAAGGAAGGGGAGGGGCTGGGAAAAGGGACCAAGTTCAGAAGACGATGCTGCTCATCTAGGGCAGCCTTCCAACGAGGGGCCGAGTGGAAAAGAGTGACTGTCTGAAGAGAAACCAGGGTCTCCCTCCTTGGCAGGGGCGGGATGCAGAGGCAGTGCCATGACATCTTCTCCTGCTCGACTGAACTAATATAAACCCTTCCTTTTGTAGCTTTTTCATGGGCCTCATTTATTCTTCTCGCCCAAAAATTCTCTCAGCTAGTTATGAACAAAACCTGTAGTTTGTTCACTTGCTCTTTTTATTTCAGTGGGTGGTATTATGGGACCCTCAAGCCCTCTGGTTATATATATGACACTCAAGTTTAACAAAATCTTGACCACTGGTTTTGATCCTGAATTAGTTTCATCCACTTCTAAACAAGTTTCAGATGTCCACTAAGATAGGATGCTTGTCAGAGGCAGCCTTAGGCAGAATACTAATTTTGAGGCATGTAAAATAGTAGGGATCCAGTTTCATAGGTGTAGGGAGAGATCTTAAGAACTCTAGAGCTGACCACGCCCAGTTGAGCGTGGTCACAGGTACATAGAACGTTCGGGGGATAAAAGCGCTGTGGGGAAGGAGAGGCTCTCTCTCTTGGATTCCGGTTGCTTCAGGGCGTGTCAGCGCTACGGGCACATAAGATTTCTCCCTACACATGGGTTAAATAAACTCCCGATCAAATTCTCAAGATGATTTGGAACTTATCACTGCATAAAAAGCTCCAGTAGAGGGGGCTGGAGAGACAGCTCAGGTAAGAGACTTTGCTCTTCTTGAGGATCTGGGTTCAGCACCTACATTAAGTGGCTCACAACCAGCTGTAAGTTCAATTCCTCAGGATCCAATGCTTTCTTCCATCTGACACAGCCACCTGCGTGCACGTGGTGCCCATGCAGACAAGCTGACACACACATGCAAAAAATTCTCAGTTGCATATCCAGTGGGCCATAGAGAAAGATGAGGTGATTGATTTTCTACACATGCAGAGCAAAACGCAAAGCATGCTGGACTGTACATGTGCCATCATGTACACTGTCAAGACGACCAGCTTCCCAATGCAGCACCCAAACCAATGCAACAAAGGCTGAGTTTGCTTCCCACTGCCAGGTTCCAAACTGTCAGAGAAGAAATAACTGGGACTGAGCTTCTAGCAAACATTAAGGAGCTGTTTGGAAGACTGCAAACACTGAGCTTGAATACCCTTCTAAACAGACCAATCACTCCTTCGCACAAATCTCCCAAAGACAAGAATTTAAACTATCTATGGTGTTTGGAAAACAGCCATATTTTAAGAAACATGTGATGTTGAACACATTCATAAGAGCTCTTTTTGTTAAAAATTGTTACAAATAGCATGAAATTCTTGGAATTATGATGAGCTCCCCTTTAGAGCTCCCTGATTTGTTTTAAATTGATGTAAATTACTCAATTTTTTTATTCTAAATGAAATAAAAAGTTAATTGTTCTGATTGAAAATATGAAGCACAATAATTATGTGGAAAAGTGGAAGACTAAAAAGCAGAATAAATTAGTCTACAGTAAAAGATAAATTGAATGCAAGCAAAATAGAATTTGTACTTATTTGAGTTGCAAAAAAAGTCTAACATAAGGGGGGGGCTAGCTTCAGAGGATATACAACCCAAAAGGACCTATGATTCTAGAAGAAAGTCATTCTTCAAGGATCACAGTTCAGTCTGAGAATCATGTGGTTACCTCCCTTAAGTTCCCAAGAGATACTGAATAGCAAAAGTCATAACTCAGTGATATCCTTTATCTGCCCTGTTACTAGAAAGTTAGCTTCCTAGTTCCAAAGAGAATGGCAAGCCACCTCAGTGTGTGGAAAACAGTTAGCAGATGCCACACTGCCAAGGTCTAACAGATGTGCTTCTCATAGCAGACATCTTTAATCCACTCATTTATTTGGGGGGCACGCTCTTATCAAGAGTAGTATTTGTCACACAGTAGATGCTCAACAGAATAAATGACAAGAAGAACAAATGTGTGTGGCCTACAAGATGACTCACTGGGTGAAAGCACTTGCTGTCAAGGCTGACCAGCTGAGCTGGGTCCCAAGGACCTACATGGTGGGAAGAATGAACCATCTCCTGAAAGAGGTCCTCTGACCTTCACATGTATGCCATGTTGTGCATATGTGCACACACAAACATATGCACACACAATAAATCAATGGAGAATTAAAACCTAAAATTTAACAACTTTACAATAGTTTTACCTGCTTTTTTCCATATTAAAAATATTAAAAAGCTCAAGTGTATGAATATGGAAATCCCCAATGGGGAGACTTCAGAAGTGACACCAAAAGAAAGTTCCCTGTCAGTTATGAGATTTAAATGGAAAAGGTCATTATTATTTAAAGAGCAAAGAAAAGTTAGTTCTTCTAGTTGAAGATGTCTCAGAATGCAAATTCATCCACTCTTAAGCCACAGAATATCATTAAAGATGAAGCCAAACACAGATGTTTCATTAAATCATCTTTCAGGAGATGGCAAGCGAGTAACTGAACATCTGCACGGACTGAACTGACCTACTCCAGCTTCCTACCGAGGCCCACGGGAGATTGTGGAGAGCCATCTTGGCAGTGCAGGACCCTACACTTCGTCGCTGCAGCTCACCTTTGGCTGTGTTTCAGCTCTCTCATTTCCCCAACAGCGAATACTCAGGAAACAAAGAGCTCTGGGTCCAGGCGTGTCAGTGGGAAGCCTTGCCTGCTTCTACCCCCATCTCCATCTGTCTGTCATTTTCCTAGCTGATCTCCTGTTTTTCACCCCACACTTGGCCTCTTGCATTGGACAAGACTACAGTTATCTGTTCTTGGGACTTAAGAAGTCACCATGGCAGGCAGTCAGGTGGACTATTGGGCAGCTGCACTCCTGCTCCTGAAGGGCAAATCCAGTGCTAGGTCCAAGGATGCTCTCACAGAGGGACAGACACATGTGACATCATCTTCCAAGGAAAAGCTCTGTAAGCACTTAAAAACCGCACACGGGTGACTTCAGGGACTCCACCGGGGAGTGTCCTTAGGAAACGGGGCAGCCACAGGATGTTAAACTCATGCTATTCCACAGCCCGGGTACGAAGCAGTTAGGAAGGAAAGACACACAGGAACACAACTGGGAGTCCAGAGAGGACAGGTCTGAGCTAGCGCTCTCTGGTGACTGTAGCACACGGGGAACTCCATGCAGCAGTCAGAGCAGGGAATACCCAGGTAAAGGCATGTGCCTAGGACACAAAGGACAAGGTTGCTTTCAGAGATGCATGTCAACTTTATCTTGAAATATGGACTAACTAGGAAATGCCATTATTAATTTTAAGCATTTAGAATAAACATTATTACTCTTGGTTTTAAGAGTAAGTCCAGGAGGCTGATGAAACATTTCTTTGTTCCGCATTTTTGGAAAGTTCCCCTGCTGTAGTCTTTCAAAGCCAAGTGGACAGAAGCCTGCCAAGAATCACAACATGGACCAAAATCCCAGGACAGCACTATGGGAAACATTTCTAAAAAAAAAAAAGTAACCAGGATTTCTCTGATGGTTTTGAACTACCACCTTGATAGTTAAATCATGGAGAAAAAGAATGAAAGAAGTAAATATTATTTTGACCTACTTACAGCACGAAGCAGCCTGAGTGGAAAGCACTTCAGAAGAATTTAAATCAACTCAAAAAGCAAATATGAAGCTACTCACTACAAATCCCTACAAGCCCAATATAAGTGACCACAAGCAGATGGGTGGTCTGGTCCCTGTGTTAACGCCTCATCCCCTCCTGTCACACAAGCCCCCGCTGAATCACACATTCACGCAGCACTTGCTGGAAGATGGACCTGAGTCAGCTGACGACTGACCTCGAAAGGCCATAGTTCAAAAAGGCTCCAGGAAACTCTTTGGATCTATCATACGTAAGGTTCAATTTCTGAATTTTACCTAAAACCATGTAGCATGTACCGACTTTAAATACACAAATCTAGAAATCCAAACCTGAGACACACTAGGTGCTTTTCAGAGCCAGCGTGACACTCAGTCGGCAAGCCTGTGCGTTGATAAGTCAGAAAGGTCTAAGCACCAGATTAGACAGAGGGAGCCATACAACCCCAAAACTTCTAAAAATCATAAAAGCAGAGACCTTTCACCCTGTTCTGTTACTAAAGCTGAACACGAAGCTCTGCTGACAGAGCAGAAACGGGAACTAAGCAGTCTGGCATTTCCTTTCTGAGGCTGAGATCAAACCTAAGATAGTGACAGCAGAATTCCTAACTGACAAACTAACTTCTAAATGGAAGCCAGATGTTCAGTCACTGCAGACATCTTAGTCTCTGGGCACCACGTTTTTTCACACCCTAGAAGACTAAAGCAACAGAGGCTACACCTGCTTTTATTTGCTGAGTGATTTTAGACAACTAGTTAAAACGGCTTTTGAAATTCTACTTAATATAAAATCTTTAAAAATTTTTTATTTTTATAATATTTCCACATAAATTAGTTACCAATAGGATTAAAGTCTATTTGAAACAAATCTTGAATTCTAGTGTGCTTTTTATAGTTTAACCATTGTTAAATATCTGGTGTCTAGTCTTTTAAATTTTTTCTATGAACCTAGGGAAAATATCAAATACTGTATTTGACTTAGAAAATCAAATGGCTTTGTGTTGGTGTTATCTTTAGTAGTTTTATTTAGTTTGGAGTTAGTCTCACATTAGTTCACATGTGTCCTCCACACTTCTTTATGTGTGAACATGTATGTGCAAGTTTGTGTGAACTATGTGTGTGGGTATGCATACATCACCTTAATTTTTCATATTTATCTACTCTCTCTGTGTGTGTGTGTGTGTGTGTGTGTGTGTTTTACACGTGCATGTGCCACAGTACACCTGTGAGATCAGAGGACGGCCTGGAGGAGTTGTTCTCTCCTTCCATTGTGTGGGTTCTGAGATGGAACTTAGACCATCCGCAGCTTTGCTGGTGGAGTCATCTCTCCAGCCTCCGATTCTTTTTTTTTTCAAGACAGGGTTTCTCTGTGGTTTTAGAGGCTGTCCTGGAACTAGCTCATGTAGACCAGGCTTGTCTAGAACTCACAGAGGTCCGCCTGCCTCTGCCTCCCAAGTGCTGGGATTAAAGGCTTGCGCCACCACCACCCTGTATTCTTTTTATTTTTTTAATACTGCCCATAAAGCATTATAGTTGATACAACGACAGTTTAGATTCCCTTTGAAGGCTACCCAGGTTTCCACACCATTACAAATAGTGCTGCAGAAGCATTCTTTATGTGTGCTCTATTGTGAGCACATATGAGCTTTTCTTCACAGGAAACCAGGATGCATAATTTAAATAGTAGTGGATGGAGCTACATCACCCTGCCAAGTGGCTAGGCTAGTTTCATAGCCTCTCCAGCAAAGCATGAAAAACGTTTGCTTAATCTTGACCTCACTGCAATCATCAATCACTTATTTTCACCAGTCTGATGGAATAGTTTTCTCTTGACTTGAATTTCCTTAAGTATAAATTGCGGGGATGAATATCTTTTTATACACCCAAACTTCCTCTCTCACAAACCCCCTCCCTTTACTCATAGTGCAGCTAGTCAGTGTGTCATTTTCTATTTCAAAACTTTGCATGCTCTACTATTAGTTAGTTATTCATGAAAAGTATTTCCCCAGTCTTTTACTGTAATTTGCAATAGTTTATTTTAAGTAAATTAATCACTTAAAATTATTTTACAGTGCGAGGAACTAAACCTTGGACATGCTGGATCAGTAACCCTCCTCTGAGCTACATATCCAACCTTATGTTCTTGAGATGAGATCTTGCTGTATAGTTTAGGCTGGCTTAGACCTCTCAATTCCTCTGCTGTGGTCTACCAAGTGCTGTTATTACAGGTGTGGGCTACCATGTCCAGTGCCCATGAATTAACTTTTTAATGGGTCGAGGGAATAACTGTTTTTCTGTTTATGCCTTTCTCTTTGCATGTCATGATTAGGATACAATTTCAAGGCTGTCCATTTACTTCTATACTTTCATAACCTGAATTACATTTGGCTCGTTATAAATAATTCATTTTTGTAGAGTTACAGCAAAGCTGGAGCTGCAGGTCCAAATGCCCTTCCGGCTAAGGCCTAAATGGATGGCAAAGAGCTGAGTCTCAGCAGACAATAATTAAAATATCAGTAGATTCATGTGCAGCCACTAAGTCAACAGAAAAACATGAGTAAACTACAGTCCTATTCTTTTTGTTACTGAGTCACTGCTTCTGGAGTTATAATACTTTCCACACAAAATGCTTTTTAAGATGAAAGAATTCTTACTATGTTTTTTCAATAGCCTAGCTCAGCCCTTGTCAAATAACAAGTATTCACTATATATTACTTGGGTCTGAAAATCTATTATATATATATGTATGCATATATATTAATAAAGGTAATTGTTTTATTGAATATATGTGAAAGCTTTTTTTAACAATAATATAATATTTAACAAAATCAAGACCATCACTGCTGATCTCAACCATCAGTCATCCCTGGCAGCTCTGCTTTTGTACAGAAATCATACACTGATCATGTGTGTACGTCACAGGAACAACACTAACCCTCTTCTACTCTGTGAAGCGCGGGGTCTGTAGTATTTGGTGTCGAGATAGAGTTCAGCAGTAGAATGCAGAGAGTTTATAAAGCACAGATACCATCTCAACTGCTGTTCAAAACATCTAGTATTGTTTGAAAAGTGAGGAGAGGCTCAGGAAGGTTAAATAACGGTAGTGAGATTACATACTAAAACTAGACTAGGAATCCAAGGCAGTCTGCCTCAAAACTCAGTGCCCCTGTTCATACAGTTAAGCTATCTTGGTAAAAATCCCACAAAGGTATAATAAAGCAATTTGTCTGCAGCTCAAGACAGCAAACTGTCTGCCTATAATGATCAAAGTCAGTCCATGTTTGTACACCGACTCCAACTACAGGATCTCCGATGGCTAAGCACTCAACACCTACCTTAGCACAAGAAAACAAGCACAAACACCCAGTACCCACCTGAGCCACATACTTTGATAGGATCCAGAGCTGAAGCAATAAACAAAGTATCAGTGCTGCTTTCCTGTGTACACGATGTATTCTAAAACTACAGAGGAAATGGTGAAGTCAGTTGAAGACCAAGAGGGTGGGGCTTAGGGAGGGAATACCTCTGAGATGGATTCTGCCTGGGCTTTTACAATGAGCAGAACAGACAGAGAGGGGACAAGAGTCTTCAGCATAGGAAAGCACAGACTGCAAACCAGCACTGGGTGCTATAATAAATAATAATTTTCAATTTCTACTTAATGAAATTTTTACAGGAAAAAAAGACTTCTTCCAGAAGAAGCTGGAATAAGAGATGATCACGGAGGACTGTAGTATTTCAGCCGGGGCCAGAACTTGGACAAAAGCTTCTCTATAATTGCTTGCTAGCCAGCCTTCATCTGCCAATACTTTGACAGTTACATCCTTCTTGCGCTAACTCAGAATATTCTTTGCAATAGGCACACAAAGAAGATGTGCTGATGGTCCATTTTGTCTAAACCACACTGGTAAATCCAAGATATGGTGCAATCTAAGGAATTCCCATCCTACTCGGTCTTGAGAAGAGCAGTGTTAAGACTGGGGTCACTGAACTGGGAGACCCATGAAGATTATCTATTTCAGTTCTCTTACTTCAAGTGAGACTTGAACTAAGAGATAAAATGATTCGTTCAGTGGTACAGTTCCCACAGCTGGCAGACCAGACCCTAGCAATCCTTTCTTCAAGAAAGCTACAATAAAGGAACTATCTAAAATCTGGCTTACTTGGAGCCTAACGACGTGGCTTAGCATGGGATCGAAGGACACAATGCCTTAGAGACATGATGCTCTCCACTGGCAAAGACTGCAGAAATGATGCATACTTACTTAGTCAGTGTCTCGATGGCCTGGATGTGCACGTTGCTATGGGTCTGGGAAAGAACAGCCTCGTGCTGGGCACATTTCAAACAGAGGCCACCCACGCGGCTGGACGCTCCTGCAGCCAGAAGAGACTCTTTATGCTTCAGTCTTTCCTTAAGATCCTCACAGTTTTTCTGATATTCAACTAAGTCCTTCCTAAAAGAAAGTGAAAAAGTCTAGGCAATGTCCAGGGAAAAGTACAGTACTTTCAAATGAAGCATCAGGGAGAACTTTTACCGCCATTGGTGGTGTTTATGTGTGGTGTCTTACTTCTTACCACAGTCGTGAAACACAGTGATTGCTTTGTTGTTGAACCACATATAAAATGCTATCAGGTAATGCAAATGTTGATAACAGTTAGGTCATCAGACATTAAGGTCTATCTTAAGAACCCATCCTTAGGTTCTATCTGTAAGTGGAGAATTTTTTACCTCAGAAGCATCAGTTGAGACTCCAGAAGTTCATTCTTCGACTCATATGTGAGTTTCAGCCTCTCCTGTGGAACAGGTAGGAAAGCACATTTTTTTTTGCCATGTCTTATTTTCATAAGAAAATGTAAATTCTAAATAGTAACCCAAGTTTTTCTCTCTTACCCACAGGAAGAACAATGCTGCAGGGTGTTGTCACCAGCTCACTCTGACTGTGTTGTCACCAGCTCGCTCTGACTCTGTGTTGTCACCAGCTCACTCTGACTGTGTTGTCACCAGCTCACTCTGACTGTGTTGTCACCAGCTCACTCTGACTGTGTTGTCACCAGCTCACTCTGACTCTGTGTCACCAGCTCACTCTGACTGTGTTGTCACCAGCTCACTCTGACTCCCCTGTTCTGGCTATAGGTGAATGTCAATAAATGGTCCCAAAATGGTGACTGCCTACAATTTTTATTTTCTTTCATAACTGCACATAGTAGGTCTACCCTTAAAAGTGTGACTCCACAGAAAATTGGTTGTCATTTAGTAGCTTCATGAGGGTAAAGCCCACACCTTAACAGAGTCACCCATTGTAAGTGAAGCATGCCTGACATGCAATATATACATATAACCAATAAAAAAGACTAAAAGTTTAATGCCTACCATGATCAGCCAAATGACCACCCTATCTGTCAGCCAGCTCTATATGCAACCTACCATTTAACAAGTACTTTTTCAGTATCTACACAAAGCTGCCTCGAACCTCAGCAAGAGCTTACACTCTACAAGGAACAGAAGGCACATGACTCTCTGAGATAAATAGAAGGGACAACAGAACACAGCTAAAAGAAGTCCATCGGGCTTCCCAGAACAGGTGTTAAGACTTGAAGGATGGTTTCGGGATGTGGGAGGCTACAGATCTAAGGACACTGCACCGTATCTTTGAGCATCCTGACTGCAGCACTGGAAGATAAAATGTTAAGAGAAAGAGTGGCTGGACATGAGGGAAACAGGAAAGCTGGGGACATGGGAAGAATAAAAATGTTAAGAAACCAATGTAGCCTAGGCACTGGATACACATGGAAACTTTTTATCAGACTGAATCACACATCAGAATAAAGGGGGAAAGAAGCTTATAAAGAAGTAATTGCAAATACATAAGTAAGAGGTCAAACTGTGAACCAGAGAAACCCAACAATAAACACTGAAATGTAAGTTTCTAATATAGAAGTATTCAAGAGTCAGGTTGACCGACTTTTATAATCGGTTAGCTGTGAGATAGGAAAAAACCCTAAAAATAATCCAAGTTTTCTGAATTGAGCAACAAAGTGAATGCTAGTGCCAAATATTATTTAAGATCAATTAAGGAGAGAAAAGGAACTCATAAAAATAATTCAAACAATGGACAAAAAGGAATAGTACAATAAAAAGAACTCAAAAAGCAAGGTGGTCGGTCATGTTGACTGAACACCCACTGTATGAGTAATCCCGCTGGGCAGTGGTGGCACACGCCTTTAATCCCAGCACTCGGGAGGCAGAGGCCTGCGGATCTCTGTGAGTTCGAGGCTGGGCTGGACCGACAGCCTCCAAAACAATACAGAGAAACCCTGTCTTGTAAAAACCAAAAAAAAAAAATGGCACAGATAACATATCTTAGAACTAACATCAGAATGGCTGAAAGCTGAAGACCAGGTGTGTGCTTCCTCAAGGAAATTCCCCTCAGATACAAATATACAGATAGGTTAAAAATAAAGGACAGGAAAGGAGAAAATTCTTAAAAAGTATGACTTAGTAAAACTGCAAAATCTGTAAATTTTATATCATGTAATGAGTTAGGAAATGAAATATGAAAATATATGTCACTTATGATAGCATCCAAACCAAGATAGGGCTAGTTCTAATGAAAGATATTTAAGTCCTTCACTCAGAGAAACTAACAACTGCCAAGCATGGCAGTACGTTCCATAAGCCCTGCACTTCAGGGGCCCAGGCAGAAAGATCAGGAGTTCTAGACCAACCTGGGATAGAACATGCTCCAGGGCATCCTGGGCTACACGCAAGACCCTGTTTCAAGAAACCCAAGGTCCAGGATTACAACTCAGCAATTCAATGCTTGGCCTAGCTGTGCATGGCCCATGTTTTGATTCCTAGCACCTCAAAGAGACAAAAAAAAACTAAGAAAAATTAAGAGATGACTTAAATAAATGGAGTTGTATGCAGTTCACAAGGATGGGTGAAATGGTCTTACAAGGATATTAATTCCCAAATGACACATCCTCTAGAGGTAATCTCAGGCAAACTCCACAATGTGTGTGGAGGTGAAAGGGGCCAAAATAGCACAGGTATTCTTTTGACACAGTCTACCAGACTTAGGCTGTCATAGTCATGACAGCATAATATGAGCTCGATGAGACAGATGCTGAAGCAGAGCCACTCGTAACCTGTGGGAAAGGTGTGTGATCCAGGAGAAGTTCACAAGAGTATACTCACCTTACATGGGCAAGGCCTTGCATTGAACCCTCAATATCACAAAAACAAAATGCATAAAGTAAACCATGAAGGCAAAGGACTACCTTTTCAATAAACAGAACTCTGACAGATTGATAAACGCATGTGTGAAAAACAAAAGGTGATTGGTGTGCTTCACATCACCTGTCAAGATGAATTCTGGGCAGATTGCACATCTAAATGCAAAAGGTACAGCTATACTCTCTGGAAAACACATTAGGAAAATATTATTGTGTCTAAGTCGGAAGAGACTTTGTAAAGAAGGCACTACTGAATGAATAAACAATGAATTCTTTGTAAGTAAAGCAAGCAATTAGTTACCAGAAGAATTAAAAAGTAAGCAACTCACAATTGAGACTGCGATCTTACTATACATAGTAAAATGTGTGTGTATGTGGGGGCAGATAGGAAGACGCTCAACTGTCTGCTAAGTTTGAGAATAAAGGAGATAAGAACACAAGGACGGGGCTGGAGACATGGCTCCATGGCTAAGAGCACTGGCTGCTCTTCCAGAGGTCACAAGTTTGATTCCCAGCATCCACACGGTGGCTCACAACCATCTGTAATGAGATCTGGTGCCCTCTTCTGGCCTGCAGGTGTACATGCAGAGCATTCCTACATTAAAAAATAAAAAAATTTAAAAAAACAAAACCATAGGGTCAAGAACGGGATAAATAGAAAACCACAGACATCAGACTTACTAAAGAAACCGCTTTAAGCGACTGCCTTGAATGCAGCCAAAGAGCAACAAGAAGAAGCATAGCCAAAGAGCTACAGAAACGGGATGTTCCAAAAAGCAACCAAGAAAAACTCTAGATAGAAAAAAATACAGCAAGTGATATGACAGCTCCCTTGGAGGGGTTCGAGAGTGGATGTGGACAAAGCACTGGTGAGCTGAAGGGTGACTGGAATGCTTAGCTCAAAGGACCAAAGGGGAAAGGTGAACAATGACCATATGATCCAACAAGTCCACTTCTAGGTGTAACTCAAGATACAAAGAGACGCAAAAAAAAAAAAAAAAGACCGCGCACGCCTTTAATCCCAGCACTCGGGAGGCAGAGGCAGGCGGATCTCTGTGAGTTCGAGACCAGCCTGGACTACCAAGCGAGTTCCAGGACAGCCTCCAAAGCCACAGAGAAACCCTGTCTCGAAAAACCAAAAAAAAAAAAAAAAAAAAAGAAAAGAAAAAGACCCACCCCAAACTCACCAGCTCTAGCTTCCACTTTTTAGCATCACCAGAGGATGCAGTTTTGCCGGTTTCAGCAGCATCACCATGAGAAAATGGTGTCTTTGCAGCTTCATCCACCCTAGAATCTTCTCCTGTCTTAATCCAAGAATCCTGAATGTGTCCCTAAAATAAAATGCACCATTAGTTGCAGCTGGCACTCAACATTAAATAAATATGCAGACTATAAATGGTCCACAGCCCCCACCCATGAGGAAACGCACATGCTGAGGCTCTAAGTCCAGCATCACTTTGCATGGTCACGCTATTAGGGCTCTGCTGGAAATGGGTGGAACAGGGTCAAGTGCCCACATGTACAGAGAATAATCCAAATAGCCAGAGAGAAGCCTGGATGCCTATGTATTCACTGTTCTCAACAGAAACCTCAGTTTGTCTTTCATTTTCCGTATTTCATAGAGGCTAATGCATGGGTGCCATTTTCAGTACCAAAAAAAGGAAAGAAAAATAGAACCCATGTGGCAGCAAACACAAGTGACATGGGCCACACATGTCAGGGACTCAAAAAGGAGTGGTGGGGACAGGGCATATAGATAAAATGTGTCATAAGCAAACAGGAACAGCCATTGCCATGTGGAAACAGAAACCCACATCACCACAAAATTAGAAGCAAGGCAGGTTATTGTTCTTCATTGAAAACACTAAATGCTGGCTCACAGTTGGTCAACCTAGATGAACCTATAATCTGCTTTCAACATTCAAGGAGATAAGTACTTTAAAAATCTGGGAAATGTATGGGGGCGGTAAGGACTACCACACTTATATTAGTTTAGAGCGACCAATAATCCCTGAGCCTTTGCTGAGCACCAAAGGATGCAGTACTCATAGAGAAGGCGAGGCCCTGAGTTACATGCGGCAGTGTCATACTGATCTGCAATGTGGCCAACGACATTCTAGAACAGCGCTAATTCCACTCCATATTCTGTTGCAAGCTCAGTTTAGTGCAGCATGTATACAGCACCTACTGTGTTCAGACATGTGTACAGGACCTACTGGGTGCATACAAGTGTATACATGTGTATGTGTATTATGTTAAAAAAACTGTGCTAATTACTTGGAATACAAAAGTTTAGCTCCAAGGAGTTTACAGTTTGAGGGAAAACACACTCCAAAGTAGACAATTAGGAGTCTGAAAGGTAAGTTCTGGGCAGCAGGTGTGCCGGAGGACCAAGTACGGTCAACTACACTTCCATCTTGGCCCCCTCCTCATACCTACACCAGTTTCTGCAAGACTTTCTTTAAAAAGCCCCAGTCTGAAGTTTGACGTGTTTGATATGATGGTACCTCATGTAGAACTCCTCCTACTATACAGGAGTTTTTTGGGTTTTGCGTTCTCTCTCTCTCTCTCTCTCTCTCTCTCTCTCTCTCTCTCTCTCTCTCTCTCTCTCTCTCTCTCTGTCTCACACACACAAACACACACACACACACCAAACACACCAATCTCACCTCTCCCTGTTATTCCTTCTCTCTCCTCCCTGCTATCCCACCTATAAACCTAATAATTTTTTCTCTAAAGCTGACCCTCTGTGACCTATGATCTTCATTTTAATTTCCTAGACAAGAACTTGAAAGCCACTGGCTTTGGGTGACTTTGGTGGCCATTGAGTTTTCTAGGATCATAGCTCTTCAAGCCAAGAAAATATCAGTTGTTCTCAAAGACACTGCAATATCTCCACATGAGGACTAAACCAGAATACAGGAAGGATGTTAAGAGAAATCAGAAATCCAAATTAGTTTCTGGAAAGGTTTTGGTCCTGTTGTACCATTTAGATGGGAAAAACTTACAGAAAGAGGCCACCTCCCAAGAAAACCTGGAGAGGAAATGAGCACAGCGCCCTCAGGAGTGTTCATAGAAAGCTCACTATTACCAGAGGTAAAGCAGAAGGGGAGAGAAGAGGAAACCGGACAATCAAGAGGGGTCCCAGGCAAAAAATTTGCAACCTATTGTGTAAGTAGGTCTGGCTCTTGCTAGATTGCTCATATTCAAAGGTGCTCTGGAGTCAGCAACGAATGAGGGCACTAATCTCCTCTAGAGAAACTGGCTAAAACACACAGGCTACAGATGCTGACTCATGATATAAAATATTATTATTCTTTAGAATAAGTGCTTGTCTTCTACACATAGCTTTTAAAAACTTGAATAGTATTTAACCAATATATTTTTAATCCTTAAAATAATTGAAAACATCTTTACTTATTGTCAGAAACATTAACAAAGAAAATAACTCAGAAATTTTATACATACTTTGAGTAAATGCCAAAATTTCTAATAAGTACATATTTTAATATTATTATACCTTTTAGGTATTATTATACCTTTTAAGTACAGAGAAAACTTTCCTGGAAGGGAAATTTCATAAGAATTAAAAAATGATTTAAAAATGAATGGCATATACTTAGTTTTATGGTTTTCTTAAAATAATTTATTATTTTTATTTTCTGTCTACTGGAGTTTTGCCTGCAGGCATGTCCATGTGAACATGTCCATGTGCACATTCTTTTGGCAAATACTCTTTGCTCAGACTGCCATGTGCTGTGCCATGACTCCCTCCCCCATGCATTGCTCATTTCTCCTGATAAGCTACCATGTGTGTGCTGGGAATCGAACCCAGGTCTTCTGGAAGAGCAGCTAGTTCTCCTAACTGCTGAGCCATCCCTCTAGCCCTGTATAGTTTTAGTCATAAAATATGATCACCATTTTTCTATAACATCTAAGTCATCAACTAGGAAAAAGTTCCAAGTCTTGTTGGCTAGCCTACAAGTGCATAGATAAGATGGAGAACAAAGAAGACTCCTCCCTTCCCTGGGAGGAGTCTCATGTCAATAAGGTCTAGTGCAGTATGAACATCTCTCACTAATTTATGTACATTCACAGCAAAATACCAGGTTAGGGAAATGGGCTCAGGAGCCACAGTTCTGGGCTCCAGTCCTTGCTTTTCCATTTTCCAGTTCTGTGATGGTATACCAGTTACTTAGATTACTTAACTACTGCATAGTTCAACTGTAACCTGCCTCATAGAGTTATTGTGAAGCTGAAATAATACAAGATAAATAATAGGCTTGATACAGTGCCTGACAAACCCATGCAGTCAGGACAAATGATAGTTATTACTATGTCACTTTCAGTTATTCACAAAAGAGGACATTGCACAACACTGGGAAATCTAAGTTCAAATTAACCAATACCATTGCTAAGATTTAGTGCAAACATTTGTGTCACTAAAAAGTCCTACTCTTCCTTAGAAAAAATATTCTTAACCTACTGACAGTTAAGATCTCCTAATAATCTTATTAATCTTAGCTGGACTACAGTATGCACTGGTGAAATACCTGTTTATCTACCCAAGAAAAAAGCAGGGGCAAACTGTTCTGTAAGTGGATACTCCAGAAGACTAAGAGGGTCAGCTGCCATACCTACAAGTCATTTCAATCTTTGCAGCGCTTTTCATTTCATGTGAATGAGTAAGATTGACAGCAAAACCTCTCTGGAACCCTGTTCATCCTAAGATCATGACTGTAGTTTTCTTTTGGCAAATACTCTTTGCTCAGACTGCCAGGCAGATGTGCTGTGCCATGACTCCCTCCCCCATGCACCGCTCACTTCTGCTGCCCTCGTAGTCACTTGTCTGCCTGGTTTCCTCTCTCACTCCACTTCCTCTCCCCCCCCTTCTTCGCCACTCTATAAATATTGAAGACCATGAATAACTGACTCTGCTTAGTGATTTTATAGTTTTAAGGAAAGCACAAGACTATTTTTCAAATGGGCTATTCCCAAGTACTTTTTATAGGGTGTATGTCTTTTTCAATTTGACATTCAAATTATAAGTACTAAGATAGAATTTTTAACCACCAATATTAATTATATAAAGCTTCAAAATAATTGTATATCAAAGGGTAAGTAACTTGTCACAAATGTAAAAGGAAACAGAAAAACAAATGGAAACACTAATCATGTCTTCACTGGTGAGTTTTCAGATGCTTCTCAACAGCAAATTCTTACACACACGACTCAAGGATCAGAAATTAAACACTGAGTCAGACTGGGGCAAGAAAGCTTCAAAACCAAAATCAGATGATATCTAAGTACATCATCAAGACTCTCACCTATTCTTCTTAGTAGACGATATCTAAGTACATCATCAAGACTCTCACCTATTCTTCTTAGTAGACGATATCTAAGTACATCATCAAGACTCTCACATATTCTTCTTAGTAGACGATATCTAAGTACATCATCAAGACTCTCACATATTCTTCTTAGTAGACCTGATTTACTAATAACACTTAATTAAAAAATAAAACCCCAAAACAAAACCCCACAAAGGACAAAGTAAGCTACAACCAGCAAGTACTAAAGTCTCCCATGGAAAACCACAGATACAGCTGACCTGAGAGTTCACGACTCTAGACCCACAGCTAGGGAGCCTCCATGGGACAGATCTAGGCACTCTGCATGTGGGTGACATTTATATACGTAGTCTGTTTGTAGGGCCCCTATCAGTGGGACCAGGATCTGTCCCTAGCACATGAGCTGGCTCTTTGGAGCCCATTCCCTATGGTGGGATGCCTTGCTCAGCCTTGATGAAGTGGGGAGGAGCTTGGTCCTGCTTCAACTTGATAAGCCAGGCTTTGTTGACTCCCATGGGAAGCCTTACCTTTTCTGAGGAGTGTGTGTGGGGGGGGTGGGTGTAGACAGGAGGTGGGAGGAGGGAACAAGAGGAGAGGAGGGAAGGGAAACTATGGTTGATATGTATAATAAATAAAAAAAAAGAAACTCTCCCATAGAAGGCATAATGATGGGGAAGTCCTGTGTATATGTCAATAAAGCACTGTTGGGAAGCAAGATAGGTGGGACTAGGAGTCCAGGAGGACTCTGGGAAGGAGAAACACAGGGAGTCATGATGTAGCCACCATAGGGATAAGAAGTCCGGACCCTTTCTCCGGTAAGAGAAATACTTAGATTAACAATTATGGAGTAAATACTTAAGTCAGAGATAGCCAGTAAGAAACAAGCAAATGGCCAACAGCTTCATAATTAATACAGTGTCCTGTGTGTTATTTGGGGACTACAATGTGGCAGAGCCCAGGCCTCTGGTGGGGGAAAACCAAAGCAACTGACAAGAAAAAGGCATCACTCAACAGTACAACTTGTCTCTCAAAGAAGAACAGGCTATAATCCGCTGTGGGCCATGGAAAAAGTGTGAAAAAAACTTCTAATACAAGAGTATCTTTGATAAATTATAAGAAGATACTAAATTTAAACATAATTTAAATATAATTCCAGGAATTTTGCGTCACAGAATTCTAAAGATAATTTACCCACTCTTCTTCAAAGTTTGGCCACTGACACTAGAATCCCATAGGCAACCTGAAGCTTATATTCCCAGGCCCCAACCAGACCGGGAAAAGCAAACTCTAGGGGAATGGAACCCAAGAGCTCCTATTGTAGACCCTGATGTGAATAAAGCTTCTCAAATCACTAATTATCTCTGAGGTTAAGCCATGCAAGCCTCAATAAACTACCTACTAAATACCATCTGGACCACAGAGGAAAACTCTTGAGTCTCAGCCTCACGGATATGAGTTCTTTCACTACACTATGCTGCTGTCACACTAAGATCTTAGAGCTCAAGAAAAACCTTTAGAGGGTCAAAGAGCTGGATAAGATTCTGAACCATTTCTGGATTTAGTACAATTCCTCCTACATTACACATTCTGTGCTTGCAAGTTCCTCTTTCTGCATGGGAAAGGCGCAAGAGCATGCTCAGAGGAGAAACTGGACTTCCGGGCACCTGTTCTGTCACTTGCAGATCCACTCCACCACAGCTGATCCTAACATTGAGGCACCATGCAAATTTGAGCATCACACTTACATCAAACTTCAAAGCAATGGGCAGGGTAAGTCTGATCTGCGCATCATAGTCCCTATGAACCCCAGAATAGCCATGAATGTAACCCAACACAAAATAATCAACTTACTTAAAATACTATGAGTTTTTGTTTTGTTTTGCTTCTTATTCTTTGTAACTCAACTTCATGATTCTTGAGTATGAACTTTGTAGCTGACAATTTTATATCAAAAGGTTGGACAAAGTTGAATAACTGGGATAAAGGGTAGGAAGAAACATTCAAGATAAAGATTGTGGTTACAAACACCACTCACAGATGCATCCAGAAGTGTCTGTTCCCTCAGTGTCTCCTCCTGTCTTTGAGATTTCAGTTCTTGCTGGAGCCTTTCATTTTCAAGTACAACTACCTGTACCCTATTTTTCATTCCAGATAATTCATCCTATAAAAAGCAAAAATCAAAATATGTTAAAGCCCTGTAAGCAATACTCATATTTATTAATTACTATGGAATCTAGAGTGAAATAAATTATGGAAGACTTACACTATCAATTTCCTGACATACAACAATTATATGAAGGCAGGAAAGGAAACCAACATTAAATTAGGCAATACTATCAAGTATTTGGGTTACTTGCTGGATGGTTGAAAACCTGCTGATGATCATATCACAAATGAGTTCTTTTTCTGGACGTTTGTTTCTTCAAGGAATCAAGGACTAGAGAAAAGTCTTATCTAACATGATTATCTAAGAGATTTTCTTTTAAGTGAGGCAGACTGATGAAAATTAAATTACTACTAAAGTCAATTGTCAATAATGTGAGAGGACTAAATGGAAAGAGAGACAAATCATAGAAATTTCAGTGTCTATGAACCAGTGTCCAGAAAAACCACAAATGAAGCAGAATGTTCTAATGTTTGAGCATTCTTAGTTTATATACATCATTGGCCTAGCAGTATATAAGGAATTAAAGAAGTCATGACTTGAATAGTTATTGAATGGCACCTCACTTTCTGAAAACAAAAATCTCAAATATATGAATGTGTAACCTAATAGTCATTGCTACTATAATCAAAAGCTATTACGAAATATGCAGATTTTTATCTACTTTAGGGGGAAAAAAGCAAACCTGTAATTAAATGTTGTAATTTGAAAAATAGTTTCAAAATTCCAGTTCTCTGTCTGACATATAATTGAGCTTAGAGGATATCGACCCAATCTCTCTAATAAAAAAGTTTAACAGTCTGAAAATCAAAGTTCTTCTTAGACCCACTAAGAAATAAAGTCACAGAGAAAGCTGTTCCTCCAAATTGGAGAAAACATCCTTTAAATTGCAGTACCTGAGAAGAAACCTCTGCAGAAGCCAGTATTTACAAAGGAAATTCCAAAACTTTAAGATTTCAGAACTCTAGGGAGATCAAGAACCCCTCAGAGTTTTAATTCTATGACTATCAAGTACTCAAAATAAAGCCTAGATATAAATCCGCATGCCAGAAAGGGGCAAAGCAGCACTTGTGAAATATGCCCAGGAGCCCATGTTCTCTGTAACAAGGCCTACCTCAGGTGAAAACACTTTCAAGGACATATAGACACTAGCTTTATCAAGGCCTAAATGCAGTGGGATAATCAGCACACAATCCTAGTCTCCTCCACCTTCCCCACCCCCAGTGCACATGCACAGTGAAATGTGAAAGGGACTCAGGATTAGACAGCGCCATGCCCCCTCCAATGCTTTACCATACCAACAGGGCCCAGGCAACAGTGGAGAAATTCAACCCACAGAATTTAAGGCTTCTCTAAGGAAAGCAGAAGACAAATGAGGTGACAACTGCAAGTGCATAGAAGAATGTTTCCCTGATGTTTATCATAAAAGCAAACTGTAAAAACAGCCTAACTTCTAGTCATAAAGACAAGGCCTCACAGTAAAGGCTTACTGTTCTAGTTAGGTCTCTGGTATGTGAGAAATACCAGAAGCAACTTGGGAGAGGAAAGGATTTATTTAATTCATACTTCCTGATGACTTACAGCAATGAAGGAAGTCAGGGCAGGGACTCAAGGCAGGAACCTGGGAGAACCGGCTGAACTACTTAGTGACTCTTGCTAATGCTGACCATGGACAACATCCAACAAAACAATAAGAAGGACTGCTAGGGAGTTAAACAATCAGAAATGGCATGATGAAGAGTACCATATAGGAACAGTCCTTTTCAGTACATCGCAGTAAACATGGAAACAAAGAACAGCAAACTTCAATATAGGTATAATTGAAATACATTGAAGTCTTAATGAGCAACTTACCTTGCAGAACTTAACTTCAGCTTCTAAATGATGAATGTACTGAGACTGGTCATTAATGATGGGAACGAGGTTGTACACAGTAGGCATACTATTGTCTTCACATTCTGAAGGCCGCTAAGGGAGAAAGGACAAATTAAGAGGCCCCACATTTAGCACAGAATCATCTGATTATCCTCTCTAAATGCAATTTAGCTCTGGGGTGACATAAGCAAAGACTAGATCACAGTGTACCAGATCACAGAATACACAGAGTATTTATGTCTTTATTCTATAAATTCCACAAGTATAAGGATAGGGTATTATTTTTGAAAGATAGAAAGTGAACAGTTATTAAAAGCACATGACACATGGAGTTTCTTTTTCAGAGCAGGGTACTATAACTGGCTTGGAATTAACCTGATTAACTACCTAACAATGTGACAGTCCATTCAGGAATTCTGAGACATAATGGACAGTTCCCTTCAAAATCCTGCCTGGAAGAGGAATGCCAACTGAAACTGCACATCAGCTCACCAAGTAAGAGACTTCAGACAGGGACTTGGAAGTCAAATGCATGCCAGGAAAGCAAACTGCTATTCCAAGGGGGCACATTAAAAATTCTACAGTGTGGGGTTTGTTTTTGTTGTTGCTGTTGAGTGGATGTTTTAGGTTTGTGCAGTGTGTGTGTGTGTGTGTGTGTGTGTGTGTGTGTGTGTGTGTGTGTGTAGAGAGAGAGAGAGAGAGAGAGAGAGAGAGAGAGATTTCCATTTTGCTGCAATTCAAAACTATGCATTCTTGAGCACAGACCCTAGACTCTCTCTCTCTCTCTCTGTGTGTGTGTGTGTGTGTGTGTGTGTGTGTGTGTGTGTGTGTGAGATCCTCGTCTTGCTGCAATTCAAAGCTATGCATCTGTGGGCACAGATCCTCCAAGGCTAAGCCCTAAAAGAGACACACAAGTTGCCCTAAGGAGTCCTAGAAGACATTTTAGAAAAAAGTTCTCCTGCTGCTGGTTTTTAAGGAAGAAGAAATCAGGAAAAGGGAAATGAGAGTCAACAGTCAGCCTGACAGGAAGGCCTGCAAAGAAAACATTTCTATTTCTCACTCAGTTGATTCTTATGGCTTTGACAGAGCAATATTCCTGACTGAAGTATTTTCCATTCTAAGAATAGGGCTAGCTATAAAAGAGTGAACCCTGAACTAGACCAAAATCATAATCCAGTCTTTAGGTCTGCAATGTGTGTCACAGACTTGCTAAAAAGGCACTATGCCTAAGTCCTTGAATTTTTGCAATCATTAGGGAAGATGATATATTTAGAACTCTTTAGAAACCCTTGAAGTAAGACATAAATATTAACCATCATAGCAGCAGTCACCTTATGATTCTAGAACCTGTGACAACTGAATGTAAAGCCTGCACGTCGCACTCTAGAAATATGTGGCACACCTTGACTCACAGAGAGGGTCATAACAGCACTCTTGCAGGAGCACTGCATTCTTCCCAGGACGCTTAATTCTTGCTTTATAAAAATACACTTCATTCACATATTCAATATTTATAACCATTGATTACAATTTTAGTAAGATATTTTATCACTCAGTGCATTTACTAATGTTGGCTTTGGTTTCTAGAATGCTCTTAAAAGCAAAGGTGAATGAAGTGCTTTCAAGTCAATTAGAGGAAGGTGCTAGAGCTGATGCATGTTCGTGTGTACTCATTAACTTTGCAGACAAAGCTGAGCACTAGCATGAGGGAGCTTACTCAATCAGGGTAGGGAGAAAGGTCCGCACCTGGAGAATTTCTTTACCATTGCTTTACAAATGCACACGTCCACATACAGGAGCTATGTAAAAGAGTGCACTGTGTATTTATATGTACTGACTATAAGGCATGCTAATGAGAAGTCACTTTTCAGACTGTACCATGAAATACACTCTCATAGCCAGTATAGCATGTTAGAAGCATGTGGATCTCCTGAGAGTTAAGCTAAGGCATTGTTGGGATGGAAAGTACATCTAGTATTTTTCCTTAGGTTTAATATATGGATATCCAAGTTATAACAAATGCTTCAAAGTATATACAAATTCAAAGAAATGCTGCATAATTTCTCACTAATTATAACACTAGATAAAACAATATTAAAAGGAGGGGAGATCCAGGGAGACCAGGGGACCAGCTGGTGAGGAAGGACCAGGTACAACAGGCCCTGCATCCAGGCCTGCATTCCAGTACCTGGGGATTGCCTGAGAACTGCACAGAGCTTCCAATCCCGGCAGGAGCCAAGCACCCCAGATTCCAGGTCTTCTCTTCCACCAACTAGACCAGGAAACCAGCAGATCCAGCAAAGAGACCAGGGGATCAGGTGGGAGGCTAAGCACCCCAGATTCCTGGTCTTCTTCTCTACCCACAGGTCCAGAACGAGGACGAGGAATAGAAGAACTACCAGATTATTGGACCTACTAGCACCCACCAAAAGGGAACTCTGGTCCCCTAACCACCAGACCAGTAAGGGGCTCTTTCTGCACCCACTAGAAGAAGAGATAGGAAAGAGACAATATAAAAACACACTCAGCAACAGAAAAACAAATATGACACCACCAGATTCTAAAGACTCCACACCAGCAAGACTCCAACATTCCAAAGCAAATGAAGCAGAAGGGAATGACCTTAAAACCACCTTCATGAAAATGATAAAGGCCCTAAAAGAGGATATAGGAAAATCCCTCAAAGAAATGGAAGAAAAAACAAACCAAAAAATGCAAGAAATGGAAGAAAAAAAAACCAAAAATTACAAGAACTGGAAGAAAAAGCAAATCAAAAAAATTCATAAAATGCAACAAATGGACGAAAAGATAAACCGAAAATTGCAAGAAACAATGCAAACAGTGCAAGGGTTGAAAACTGAAATAGAGACAATAAAAAAAACACAATCTGAAGAAAGGCTAGAAAGAGAAAAGCTGGGCAAACAGTCAGGTATTACCGATACAAGCATTACCAACAGAATACAAGAGATGGAAGAGAGAATCTGAGGTGCTAAGGATACACTATGAGAAATGGACTCATCAACCAAAGAAAATCTTAAGCCCAACAAATCCTTAACATAAAACATCCAGGAAATATGGGACACCATGTAAACAACAAACCTAAGAATAATAGGTATAGAAGATGGTGATGAAAACCACCTCAAAGGGGCAGAAAACATATTCAACAAAATCATAGAAGAAAACTTTCCCAACCTTAAGAAAGACATGCCAATGAAGGTACAAGAAGCTTACAGAACACCAAATAGAGTGGATCACAAAAAAAGTCCCCTCGCCACATAATATCAAGACCCCAAATATACAGAATAAAGAAAGAATATTAAGAGCAGCTAAGGAAAAAGGCCAAGTAACATATAAAGGCAAACCTATCAGAATTACACCTGACTTCTCCATGCAAACTCTGAAAGCCAGAAGTTCCTGGATAGATATTCTACCAACACTAAGAGACCATGGATGCCAGTCCAGACTATTATAACCAGCAAAGCTCTCAATCACTATAGATGGAGAAAACAGATATTCCATGACAAAACTAGATTCAAGCAAAACGTATCCACTAACCCAGCCCTACAGAAAGTTTTGGAAGGAAAACTCCAACCCAGGGAAGTTAACTACAACCAGAAAAACATAGGCATTAGAGAATCCCTCTCTACCAACAGCCAAAAGAACAAAGAGGTGAAATTCGACACATAATTCCACCAACAACAACCATTCCAAATCAAAGAAGAATGAGCAATCAATGGTCATTAATATCCCTCAACATTAATGGCCTTAACTCACCCATAAAAAGACACAGGCTAGCAGAACGGATTCGAAGACAGAACCCATCCTTCTGCTGCATACAAGAAACACACCTCACCCTCAAAGACAGACATTACCTGAGAGTTAAAGGTTGAGAAAAATTTTCCAATCAAATGGACCCAAGAAACAAGCAGGGGTAGCAATCCTAATATCTAACAAATTCGACTTTAAAATAAAATCAATCAAAAGAAATGAAGGAGGTCATTACATACTCATCACAGGTGAAATCCACCAAGATGAAGTGTCTATCCTGAACATCTATGCCCCAAATACAAAGGCATCCACACTTATAGTGGGAGATTTCAACACACCACTCTCACCACTAGACAGGAATACCAGACAGAAACTCAACAAAGAAGTAAAGGGTCTAATAGAAGTAATGACCCAACTGGGATTAACAGACATGTATAGAACATTTCATCCACATAAAAAAGAATATACCTTCTTCTCACCACCACATGGAACCTTCTCAAAAATCGACCACATACATGGCAACATATCAAACCTCAGCAGCTTCAAAAAAATTGGAAAAACTCCATGCATCTTATCAGACCACCATGCTTTAAAATTAGAATTCAACAACAACACAAGTTTCAGAAAACCTACAAACTCATGGAAATTGAATAATGCACAACTGCACCATTCCTGGGTCAAAGAAGAAATAAAAAAAGAAATTAAAGATTTCCTAGAATTCAATGAGGATGAAGACACAACATACCCAAACTTATGGCACACTTTGAAAGCAGTGCTACGGGGGAAGTTCATAGCACTAAGTAACCACATGAAGAGACTGGAGAATAGTTATACTAGAGAATTAACAGCACAGCTGAAAGCTCTAGAACACAAAGAAGCAAACTCCCCCAGGAGGAGTAGACGCCAGGAAATGATGAAATTGAGGGCTGAACTCAATAAAGTAGAAACTGGGAAAACAATACAAAGAATCAATGCAACAAAGAGTTGGTTCTTTGAGAAAATCAACAAGATAGACAAACCTTTGTCCAAACTTACCAAACAGCACAGTGTGAACATTCAAATTAACAAAATCAGAAATGAAAAGGGGGACATAACAACTGACTCTGAGGAAATTCAGAGAATCATCAGGTCATACTTTGAAAACCTGTACTCCACAAAATTTGAAAATTTAAAGGAAAGGGACGACTTCCAGGATAGCTATCACTTGCCAAAATTAAATCAAGAACAGATAAGCAATTTAAATAGACCTATAACCCCTATGGAATTAGAAGCAGTCATCAAAAGTCTCCCAACCAAAAAAAGCCCAGGTCCAGATGGCCTCAGTGCACAATTCTACCAGAAATTCAAAGAACAACTTATACCAATTCTTCTCAAAGTATTCCATGCAATAGAAGCAGAAGGGTCTTTGCCAAACTCTTTCTACGAAGCTTCAATAACCTTGATCCCCAAGCCACACAAAGACACAACTAAGAAAGAGAACATCAGACCAATATCCCTCATGAACACTGATGCAAAAATACTCAATAAAATAGTGGCAAATCGGATCCAAGAACACATCAAAACAATCATTCACCACGATCAAGTAGGTTTCATCCCAGGGATGCAGGGATGGTTCAACATACGAAAATCCATCAATGTAATCCACCATATAAACAAGCTGAAAAACAAAAATCACACGATCATCTCACTAGATGCTGAAAAAGCCTTTGACAAAATCCAACACCCCTTCATGATAAAGGTCTTAGAGAGATTTGGGATAACAGGAACATACCTAAACATAATAAAAGCTACATAAAGCAAACCAACAGCCAACATCAAACTAAATGGCCAGAAACTCAACGCAATTCCTCTGAAATCAGGAACAAGACAAGGCTGTCCACTCTCTCCACACCTTTTCAACATTGTACTTGAAGTTCTACCCAGAGCCATATGACAACAAAAGGGGATCAAGGGGATACAAATTGGGAAGGAAGAGGTCAAACTTTCACTGTTTGCAGATAATATGATAGTTTACATAAATGACCCAAAGAACTCTATCAGGGAACTCTTACAGCTGATTAACACCTTCAGCAAAGTGGCAAGCTACAAGTTCAACTCAAGAAAATCAGTAGCCCTACTATATACAGATGATAAAAGGGCTAAGAAAGAAATCAGAGAAACATGACCCTTTACAATTGCCACAAACAACATAAAATACCTTGGGGTAATGCTAACCAAACAAGTGAAAGACCTGTATCGCAAGAACTTTGAATCTTTAAAGAAAGAAATTAAAGAAGCCCACAGAAAATGGAAAGATTTCCCATGCTCTTGCATAGGTAAGATCAATGTAGTAAAAATGGCAATCCTGCCAAAAGCAATCTACAGATTTAGTGCAATACCCATTAAAATCCCAGCACAATTCTTCACAGACCTTGAAAGAGCAATAATCAATTTTGTATGGAAAAACAAAAGACCCAGAATAGCCAAAACAACCCTGTTCAACAAGGCAACGTCCCTGACTTCAAGCTCTATTATAGAGCTATAGTCCTGAAAACAGCTTGGTATTGGCAGAAAAATAGACAAGTAGACCAATGGAATCAAATTGAAAACCCTGATATTAACCCACACATGTATAAACATCTGATCTTTGACAAAGAAGCTAAAAATATACAATGGAAAAAAGAAAGCATCTTCAACAAATGGTGCTGGCATAACTGGAGGCTGGCATGTAGAAGAATGTGGATCCACCCATGTCAATCGCCATGCGCAAAACTTAAGTCCAAATGGATCAAAGACCTCAACATAAATTTAGCCACACTGAACCTCTTAAAGAAAGTGGCTGGTACCCTTGAATGAATTGGTACAGGAGACAGCTTCCTGAACATAACACCAGTAGCACAGACAGTGAGATCAACAATTAATAAATGGGACCTCCTGAAACTGAGAAGCTTCTGTAAGGCAAAGGACATAGTCAACAAGACAAAACAGCAGCCCACAGAATGGGAAAAGAACTTCACCATTCCCACATCTGACAGAGAGCTGATTTCCAAAATTTACAAAGAACTCAAGAAGCAAGTCTCCAAAACACCAAAGAATCCAATTAAAAAGTGGGCTGCAGAACTAAATAGAGAATTTTCAATAGAGGAGTCTAAAATGGCTGAGAGGCACTTGAGAAAGTGCTCAACATCCTTAGCCACCCGGGAAATGCAAATCAAAACAACTCTGAGATACCATCTCACTCCTGTCAGAATGGCTAAAATCAAAAACACCAAGGACAATTTATCCTTGAGAGGATGTGGAGAAAAGGGAACACTCATCCATTGTTGGTGGGAGTGCCAACTTGTTCAGCCACTTTGGAAATCAGTATGGAGATTCCTCAGAAAAATGGGAATACACCTACCACAAGACCCAGCAACTCCACTCTTAGGCATATATCCAAAAGATGCCCATTCATACAACAAGGATGTCTGTTCCACTATGTTCATAGCCTCATTATTTGTAATAGCCAGAACTTGGAAGCAACCTAGATGCCCCTCTACTGAAGAGTGGATAGAGAAAATGTGGTACATTTACACAATGGAGTACTATTCAGCAGAAAAAAACAATGGAATCCTTAGATTTGCAGGCAAGTGGATGGCACTTGAAGAAACCATCGTGAGCGAGGTAACCCAGTCACATAAAGAGAAACATGGCATGTACTCCCTCATATATGGATTTTAGACATAGATCTGGGGAGTGCCAGCCTACAATCCCATGGCCAGAGGGTCTGGGAAACAGAACCTTCATTCAGTGGCTGGTGGAAGAAGAGGCAGACTCCCACAACTAAGCACTGAGCTGAACTCAAGAAAGCCAGTAACAGAGAGAGAGAGGACTGATGACCAAAGGGATTAAGACTGGGCTGGTTTAACCCCCAGGAACAGCTGACCTGACAAGGGTTAACTCTTGAATCCCAGGCTGATGCCTGGGAATCCAGCATGGGACTGATCAAGACCCCCTAAATGTGGGTGTCAGTGAGGAGGCCTAGGTAATCTATTGAGCCTTGGGCAGTAGATCAGCATTTATCCCTGGTATACAAATGGACTTTGGACTCCCATCCAACAATGTGAGATGTACTCTCACCTTGAACTCTTGGGGGAGGGTCTAGGCCCTGCCCTGGATGAAATGACAGACTTGGACACCCCCATGGAGGGCCTCACCGTCCCTGGGATATTAGGGGGGTTGGGGGCAGAGCATGGGAGGTGGGGAGGGAAACGGAGAGGGACCTGGAACTGACTTGTGAAGCAACCTTGTTTCTAATTTAAATTTATATTTAAAAATAAATAATAAAAATAAAAAACATCAAAAAATATTAAAAGGAGGATGTCTAACATTACAATTAGTAACCTACAAATGATTAAATACAGACTAAGCTTCTAAAAAAACTACTAAAACATTATGCCTTTGCATTGACTATCATTTTTATATATTCACTAACATTTGCAAAATACATTTCTCAAACTGTTCTCTTGCCCATGCTTTTGAACCTAAAAATTAAATTTAAAAAATATCAAGATTCCCTCAGTTCTAACTATCAGAGATGAAGGAATTTTTTTCTAAAATTCTTATGACTATAATCTGGAATGTGTGCAACATGCTCAAAAAGATACAGGAAAATAAGGCAATGCTTGAAACCCCATACTTTTGTTAGGCTTCAAAGGTTGACACTTACCGAAGGGGACATCTTTCGTCTTCCTGGTGGAGACATCTCATTGTCCTTACTTGCTTGTTGGCGCAACAAAGCTTTGAGTTGACTTACTACAGAGCAAAAGCAATGACTTTATTGATCTTGCTAGAGATCCATGGGTTATGCAATTTAGGTTGTAAATGTCCCCCCAAAGACCATGCATCGAAAAAAAATACCCCTCATTTAGCATTAATGGGAGATAAACAAAATCTGATGACGTAGGACCTAGTAAAGAGGTGGAGATTTGGGGTTTAAATCAAATTATTAAATGTGGGAGGTCTTCAAGTTGCTGGGGAGGTTGGGATCCACCTCTTCCTTCTCTTTTTCCCTTCCTGGAATAAGGTGAGAATTTTCCTATCTGCATGTGTCTGCCTGGAGGAATTGCCCTGCCACATGCCCAAAGAATCAAGGCCAATCAATAATGGGTTAAAACATGTAAAAATAAGCCCAAATAAATCATTCAGGTATGTTGGCAGACTCCTGTAATATCATCACTTGGGAGACCCAGGCAGAGGGATGACCACAAGTTCAAGCCCACCTGGTCTACATAAGAGAGTTCCTGGCCATCCAAGGGTTCATAGTGAGACCCTGTCTCATGCAGAAAAAACATACTCTTTTTAAGTTTGTTATCTAAGATGTTGTTATAGTGATGGAAAGTAAACTAACATTTTATTGCCAAACATCAATCCAGCAAATATTGCTTAAACTACTATTAGGCAACAAGAACTTTGCTATTGGCTGGGGATACAAAGAAAAGAATGAAAATAAAAAACTACCTTTTAAGTAAGAATGTAATAAACACAATAGTTACACCAGTAGATATATGTAAACTTGTAAGGTAATCCTAGAGCTGTGCACAAAGCTTCATGAACTGGGAACACAGCACTGTCTTTGCTTTCACATAGGCACCAACAGTGGCAGTCAACAGGACATAGGCACCAACAGTGATAGTCAACAGGACATAGGCACCAACAGTGACAGTCAACAGGACATAGGCACTAGGGAAAGAGTGGAAAGGCGTCAGAAGTGTCAGTCATGAGGAACTTCGGTATAAAGGTATGGATGCATGATCACGGGTTGCTGTGAGACAACTGCTTTCTAAGACAAATGATTCTGATAAAGGCCTGTGAAAAGGATGGTTAAGATGACAGCAGGGAAAAATCTGACTGGAGAAGTAGGTGAGGGAATATTGTTAAGTTAGAAAAATATTATTATTCCATCCTAAAGATTTTGGACTTAAGTCTAGAGGATTTTGGAAGTCAAAAGAAAAAAGTTAAGTGCAGGAATTACATTGCTCTTTTGTTACACAGCAACAGAAACTTAGCAGTAGAGTGGCCAACTGGATGCAGTCAGTTCTGTGGAGTTGGGAGAATCCCTTGTGGGCCACTCTTGCTCAGACTGACAGTCACACTCACCAGCATGGCTGTGCTGCAGTTCATGCCAGGCCACTCCTGTGTCCTCATTTTTTACGTTGATGCTAGTGGAAGGATCCACAGTGACATCAACATCTCTCAGGGCACATTTCAATTGGTGAATGCTTCTGTTGGCACGTTCTGCAACAAAAACCTGATGAAAGTCAGTGCCAACAAAATGATGGCGATCAGGAATACTTGGCCAACCAGGCATCCTCAAAAGTAGTTTCAGAGTACCTTATGGAGGAAAAGTAGAATTCTTGCTCCAGCTAGCTAAGGAATATAACAGAGGAGGTAAGAGAAGATGGCAATCACAGTTAGAATTAAACGTGGGAATCACTACAGTTCCTGCTCGCTCACGCTATCATGAATATTCACTGTATGTGATTGCCTAGTTAGGGTTTCCATTACTACAACAAAACAACATAACCAAAAAGCAAGTCGGGAAAGTAAGGGTTTATTTGGGTTACACTTCCAAATCATAGTCTATCATTAGAGGAAGTCAGAACAGGAACTCAAGCAGGGCTGGAGCCTGAAGGCGGCAGCTGACATAGAGGCTATGGAGTTCTGCTTACTGACTTGCTTCCCCTGTTTGCTCAACTTGCTTTCTTGTTGAACCCAGGACCACCAGCCCAAGGATGGCACCACCCACCATGGGCTGGACCCTCCCTTATTGATCACTAATTGAGAAAATGCCTTACAACTGTATCTCATGGAGGCATTTCCTCAATTGAGGCTCCTTCCTCTCTGATGACTCTAGCTTGTGTCAAGTTGACACACAAAACCAGCCAGTGCAATGATACAATCAGAACAGAGGACTGAATGGCAGAGCTCCCTTTGAGGTGAGGTAATCACCAGCCTGGGTAGGTTCCTTCTGTTCCCTAAGTGCTTGAGACGTGCCTGTCCAACCTAGAGCTATGAGGTGAGTGAACAGAACCATCCCAGCCCAGGGAAGCCGCATTTTCCCTGAAGACCTGACATCCCTGCCTCACCAAAAGAATTACAACTGCCTGACCTAGTTCTGATCAAGAGTGGCACAGCTGGGTGCTCAAGGTGGCAACCCCTTCTGTACAGTCTTGACTGATGACATCTCACTTGGTTAGTACGAAGGACCAACCCCCTAGAGTCGAAATTGAAACCAACCAGTACACAACTGATATAAACTATCTCTGATGTAATACTTTAATGTATACTGTTATGATAGCTCATCTTTAAAAATAGTCTCAGGGTCACATTGCACTTCCACACAGGCCGAAATTCTCATTAATAGAATACAGTGATAGTTACATCTCATCCTTAGAATGATCAGCAGGGTTTGCTTTCTCTATCTTAGACTGCTTACTTAAGAGCTAGCCACACTACAGGAGAGAAATATAAAGAAGTTAGTGGTTGGGGACAGACCCTGAGACTACAAGAAGCTCCTCCACCTATTTTCCACCTAAATATTCAGTGTAGCCTCCAGAAGATTCCAGAGACCATTTAACTGTAATGGCATGAAAATGAAATTGGGAAGAAAAGTCTGTTGGTAAAGTACTTGCTCTGCAAACATTAGGATCTGTGTTCAGATCCCCAGAACCTTTGTAAAAAGCTGCATGGGGCAGGGCACACTTGTAACCCCATTGTTGGTATGGCAGAGAACAGGCAGGGTCATAGATCAGCCACTCTAGTTGAATCTATTGAGTCTCAGTCTAAGTCTCAAAAGATAAAGGTGGAGAGCAATTGAGGAAAGACATTGAAGGTCATCCTCTGACTTCCATATATATGCACACATTTCTAAAAAGCCTAATTCATTATCAGTCACCTAGGAAAACATTCATGAACATACATTCTGCATTTTCTTCAATGTCATTAACTTCTAAGTTTAGGACCAAACACAATAACTATTACTTAACAGAAAAAAATTACTCCATGTTACAAAATATGTAGCATGATTTCTTTACTTACAGAAACTCACCCCTTACGTGGCTAACACTAAAAAGAAGCAGCCTCTCCTGAGATGGTGAAATGCCATTGTCTTCTTGGTGAATTTATCACCACTGTTTTCCCCATAGCAACCTGATTTCCACACAGATCTTCCTCTGAACACATGCCTGGTGCTGGCTGATAGCCAGGTCTGGGTCCCTTCTCACTCAGGGTTTCAGAAAGTTCAGATTAGATGCAGTCCTGGGTTTAGCAATACAAGGGGCAACAGCAGTTTTCTAAAACTCAGGATTTTCTGAACAGAGTTGTCAATGGGAAAGGATAATCAAAATGGTCTATGAGATGCAATGTAATTCAGACATTTAGATTTATGTCCTTAAATCTATAAATAAAGCACTTGCCTTTACAGCATCCATTAGGAAGGAGACAGGGTTTGACTAACATTAAAAGAATGCTTCATAAAGCTATCAAATTACTTCCTTTCTAAGACAAAGAATAATTATTTATTTATATCTCCTCTAATTGAAAGCTAAGAAGTTACATTAGGAAAAGGGAGAAATCTTGCTTGAAAAACAAATGCACAATTGGAAGTCCCTATAGGTATAGTTCTTTCATGAGATTACAACAATGGCAGAGCTTCTGCTTTATATATTTATTTTGTGGTCCTAGGGATTGAACCCTGGGCCTAAGGGGATGCTGGGCAAGAGCTCTGAGCAACATGTTCAGACTGCAGGTCAACTTGCAACAACCCTTTTAATCTTGTTTCTAATATTTTTATTCAGTTTTCCAGAACCATACCAATATTCCATGCTAAACTACATCAAAAATATCACAAGAAATTACAAGACACTGAGATCAACAATTAGCCCCCCTCAAAAAGTGAATTTTGGTTTATTTGCTTTGTCTTTGCAACTACTCATTCAGTTGTAAGGGTCAGAGACGGAATTTTTGCAAGATCTACATCCTAAAACTAAGATCAAGGAGGTGAATGGCATTTTAAAGTCATTTTAGTGTAAGATTTCAAAGCACACAGTTTTCAGTTCCCTCAGTAGCATGCTTATGATATGACAAGCTGACTTAATCCAGAGGGATAAATTCAGATGCTTCAAGACAGATGAAATGCCATAAATCTTTAGTTTGAGCCACTGCAACAGAACTTCCCATAATCCACTTCTCACCAGATGCAGCTCACTGCTGCTCACATTTAAAGAGACCAGATTTGACATGAGGGTCCTGATATCTTTTGCTACCTGCTGCTCATGGCAACAGCTTTATCTAACAAGATCCAGAAAGACTGTCTGCTTCCTCTGTTCTCTGAGAACATTCGCCTTTCTCAGAATACATTCTGATTTCTTCTCCCCTGCACTAGCCACCGGCTGTCTAAAAACTTAATTATGAATATAAATGCAAACAGAACCTCTGCATCCTATAGATCACATGAAAATAAATGCAAGCAAACACTATTTCTGCAGCCCGTTATGTAAACAGCAATCAATACAATGAGCACTGAAAAGGTACGAATGCCAAAGACGGAAGTCGAAGTGTGTCTTACTCATTTCTCAGTACAATTTCTCTTCTCCCCACGTTTTAACACCTGGCTCCCCACTGAGCTTCTTTTCATCAAAGTTAAATTTTAAAAGACTGCTTTAAACTTTGACAACTATGTGCATGCATATACTGTTTTTTGATATTTAACATCCATTACTCTCCCTCACCCCTCCCACACCCTCTAGACCCCTTCCCGCTCCCTCAAAAGTCTTCTCCTATTTAAACTGGTTTATTTTGTTGTTGTTCTTTTATAACCCCCCGAGTTTAATTAGTATTGCCTGCATGAGTCCGGATGTGGAGATACTTAGGAGCATGGCAGCTTACCAGTAGTTACACCACTGAAGAACAACCCCCTCCCCCAGCCGCAGGACCTGCCAACAGCTCCTTAGCTATGGGTGGCATTAACATGGTTTTGAACAAAACACAAGTACCACTCAGTTTAAGACCAACAACTACACTCATCTAATCAATTATTAATTTCTACATTTTCCATCTGCCTAGGAGATGTGAAAGAGAAATGTCCTAGTGTCAGGGGTGGGGACTCATCCTGTAAAGTGGCCAGCTGTCTCTGAGAAAACATGCAATGAACCATTTCCTAGCCTGAGATATGAGATGGCCCGCAGTTCCTGAAACAAGCTCTGGCTAGGCAGACAAAAAGGAAAATGAAACCACAGGAAGACAAGAAAAACGTGTCTGTTCATACTTGACTGGACCTCAGCCCAGTTTAGAAGGCAGCTGTCATGGTTTCCTAGAGAACCAACAGGTAGCAAAACCATGAGAGAAAGAGCCTCATCCAAAGTCAGACAAAGCCAAGTCTCGTAAGTAGCCAACACAATAGTGAAAGCTATTAAAAGATCTACAAGGAAATAAAAAAGTCTCAACAAATCCGTGATCCTAACTCTAATAGCTAAAAATGTGCTGAAATAGATGGCATGGCACTAATAGGGAAACAACAGTGTAATCTTCATAAGAAAGCAGGGCCTGGAAGATTATCAATGACAGGTGTGAGGAGGCCAATCTGAGACTGGTATGTCTGTCCTGTGGCATGCACCTGGCACCTCCTTGGCACCAGCAGGGGGAACTAATGCAGCTGGTCCTTTTACCAATAGAGAATTGATCCTAGTTGGGCTGACAGAAGAATTGGGACAGAATCACGAAACAATACAGTGTGTATTCACAATTGCGATTACTTATTCTTGAGTCTCTTGCAAAGGCTACAACGTTGTTTCTGAACAAAGTGCTATTGGTGTCAGACCTGATAACTTTGTCATAGGAACCAAACTATGCATCTTTGCCACTGTCCCTGGCTTCTACTCATGGGATGCCACTAACACTCCCCTTGTTTCCTTGCCAGACAAATTGTCCTTGGTTGAGACGAATGAAGCAAAACAGCTCCTGCTCGACATGTAAGTCACACTGTAAGTACCACACCCACCATACCTGCCACATTATTATACAACAGCAGCCTTTGGATGAATGGCAGCATTGTAGGGCAGGGTATAACTGCATCCCACGACAGTCAATGTACGATTCTTCAATGTTACAATCGTACTATTTAATATTCCTTAATATTTCTATCTTAAAGAGTCCAAATTTTGCATTTAGCCCACATTATTGCAAGTCTAGAGCCTGATATACCATCTACTCTAGGTCCACTCCTTCCAACCGTTCAG